TATTTCTTTCTACGGCGACACCTCAAGTCATGATTACGAGGGCAAGTCTCGTACGTTATGTAAACTGAAGAAAAAAGATCTGTCAACATATCACACAAATCAACAGAGACCAGCTGAAAGAGGTGGGGGTCAGTTCTCACAAACATCGTCGACATCGTGTCAATGGAAACGGATACATATGCTAGATGGGCTATCCTCCGAATTACGGGCATACATTATGGCGGCCAAAAACAGGGCCTCAGTCACATGTAAATTGCGAACTTCCGGCTGCAGGAGATGCGGAGGCTGCTGCTCGTGAGTCCCAGCCATCTAGTTAAGCCCCAATCCACATGGCATGAGCGGCGTGGGGGATACTCTCGGCGGTGGCGGTAGTCGCCGGAAGTCCAAAAATTAAGTCGCCGGAAAGGCGCAATTAACATGTGACTGAGGCCCTGTTAGGGTGTTTTTAGCGGCCGCCATAATACGTGCCCGTTATTCAGAGGATAGCCGCTAGATGTAATCTTCCGATCATGATTATTGTACTATTTCTTTTTCTATCAGTGCATTTTTTTTTAAACTAACGATTTTATAATTAGAAAAAAAAAATTGTTTTCCAGTGCCATACCATGAAAACAAAGTTTGCGATGTTACAATATACATGTATATTCTGTTAATGCCTCTCAACCTGGTTAACGTATTTTGTTATTACAGAGACACTGAAAAGTACTTTATACATCTCACTGGATATACTAGTTATGCCTGTAAGTGCAATGACTGCCAGGGCATAGTGACCTATATCAGAAATGACATACAAGGAGATGTAACAATGCTGTTGACATCTCACCCTACAGATGTGCAAAAAATAACTATCTGGCACAATGGAGGCAAATATACGATATACAACGTGTACAGCCCACCTCAGACAACATGCAACATACCAGAACTATACAAGACACAGTACCATAAAACCCTTTTTGTTGGTGACTTCAACGGACACTCGCCACGTTGGGGTTACCCTGACTTCAATAGCACAGGGAAATACGTCGAAGATACTTGTGAAACAACTAACCTATTAGTGCTGCAGGACACAGAGTCTACACCTACACTGTTACACAGGGCCCACCTATCTCTCAGCCGACCAGACCTGACCATCTGCTCATCCGACTTAGCAGACGCAAGCTATCCCCAAGTCCTGGATGACATAGGAAGTGATCACAAACCTATACTCACAACTGTAAGCACCACCGCTAAATTACGCTTCAAGCAGAGAACCTGTTGGAATTTCCGAAAAGCAAACTGGAAACTCTTTCAGGAAACATCTGACTGCCTCCTGGGAAGAATTGACAACAGCTGTGTGGAATCTTTTTGTGAAGATAAAACAGAAGCAATCCTGAATGCAGCATCGAAAGCCATACCAAGGGGCAGCCGGAAGGCATATAACCCTATTTGGAATAAAGAAATTCAAAATACTATATCTGAAAGGAATAAAGCAAGAATATTGCTCGAAACTGCCCGTTCAACAGAAGCAAAGATCCAATACAATAAAGCATGTGCCAGAGTAAAGCCTGTAGTTAATAAGGCTAAAAGAGATAAATGGACAGAAACTTGCTCCAACTTAGACCTTAGACAGAATGGAAATAAAGCATGGACTTTAGTTGAAAACCTCTCCGGAGAAAGTAGAAGAGTGAACACAAAATCAGTGACAGATGGGAGTAAGACAATCACTGAAGACAAGAAGAAAGCAGAACATTTCAATCATTATTTTGCCTCAGTTAACAGAGCAGGTAAGCTGTCAGAACTCAATAGAACACAGCTCTCTCAGTTGAAGAAACAAGAGAGAGCTCCAACAGCCAGCGACTCCCTTTTTGAAAATGAATTTAGCATGGATGAAAGAGCAAGCCCTGAAGAAGTTAAAACCTAGAAAATCCCCAGGCCCAGATAAGATCCACAATGAAATGCTGCTACATCCTAAGAGAGAAGTAATTCTCAGGCTTATTAATAAAACTTGGAGGTCAAGCAAACTTCCAAAGGCATGGAGGAATGCATATATCGTCCCCATTGTTAAAACCAAAAAGTCTCCAGATTACCCCAAAAGCTACCGCCCGATATCCTTAACATCATGCTTGGGCAAAGTTGCAGAAAAAAAAATGATAAACAGGCGCTTATATTGGTTCCTAGAGAGTTCTGGTGTTCTATGCCATGAACAGGCAGGCTTCAGAACCAACAACTGTACAGAAGACCAGCTGTTCAGACTGACACAAAGAATACATGATGGCTTCCAGAATAAGAAACACACAGTGGCCGTCTTTGTCGACCTCCAGCAGGCCTATGACAGAGTATGGTGAAAAGGTCTCCCGATGAAGATGATGAGCATAGGAATACATGGCAGATTGTATAACTGGGCAAAATACTTTCTGATAGATAGAACAATCCAGACAATGATGCACAACGCAATCTCTTCTAAAGAAGTCTTGGAGGAGGGCTTGCCACAAGGCTCATCATTGAGCTGTACACTGTTCCTAATCTGTATCAATGACCTGCCAGAACAAATCGAGGCCGAAAAAGCATTGTACGCTGATGACCTAGCAATATGGCCGAGTCATGAAAATGTGGAAAGTCGAGCCCAAAGACTGAATGGAGACCTAAGAAGACTGCATGAGTACTGCCAAAGATGGAAACTCAAGGTTAACTGTGCAAAGACGGTCTACACAATCTTTACCAAAAGCCACCAAGTAGCAAGAAAGAATATTAACCTGAGGTTAGACAAACACCAAGTGATGAAAGAAGAGCATCCCACATACCTTGGAGTCCCACTTGACCGGCAGCTCAGCCTCAAGAACCATATTGAAAACGTCAAGAATACGGCATTGAGGCGGTTACAGTTATTAAAGAGACTTGCAGGTACATCATGGGGATCAGACAAGGAAACTCTGAGGGGCTTATATCTAGGATATGTTCGCTCTGTGATAGAGTACAACAACTCACTGCTTACAACTTGCTCCAAAACTAACCTAGAGACTCTTGACAGAGTACAAAATAATGCCCTCCGATTAATCTGCGGAGCTATGCAGTCTACACCAACTGCTGCATGTGAAATCCATACAAATGTGGAACCCCTCGGGTTGCAGAGAGAAAAAGGCACTTTAGAAATTTTTGAAAGATGCGTTAGAAAAAATCGTAACCATCCTAATAGACATATTGTAGAAAACTGGGAATACAAACAAAGAATAAAGCACAAATCGGTTTTACACTGTGTTAATGAAATTCAGGACAGATACCACCTCCCAGAAAGACGTCAAGGAATTCAGAATGTTGCAAGAAACCTACCACCACATGCTCGCTTTAAAGCTCCAGAAGTCCGAATTAAATTGGTAGGCGAGGAAACCAAACAGTCCGACACAATCGCTCTTATGAACTCATCACTAAAGACCGTTGATTCTTACCCCCAAGAATGGATACATGTCTATACTGATGGATCAGCATTTAAAGCTACCATTAAAGCAGGTTACGGAATCTACATAGGTTATCCCGATGGATCTGTTGAAAAGATTTTTGATGCATGCGGGGAATTCTGTTCAAATTATGAAGCTGAAATAATTGCACTGGAAACAGCAGTATACCACCTAAAGACTGAAATGGATGTTTACCCTTCAAAGGTCCAAAATATTGTCAACTTCACAGATTCAATGTCTGTCCTTCAAGCTCTGGAGGGCAGTGAACGCTGCAGAACTGACATAGCCAAGATAATCCTGGATGCTGATCAGCTTATTACCTCATACAACATCAGAATAGTGATGCAGTGGATTCCAGGTCACTCTGGCACACCAGGTAATGACAGAGCTGACAGATTGGTAAAGAAAGGAGCAACACAAGAACAACCACCTACAGTGACAACCCTCCAGACAGCAAAAACACTTATAAGAGCTATAAACAAAGAGACTTGGTTGAACAGATGGGCCATGGGAGACACTGGAAGAGAGGTTTATAGACATATGGCTGGCCCTGATTCTAATGACAGCATTAACCATCTAACAAGCAGAGACCAGGCCACCATCTTCAGACTTCGAACGCAACATACTCCACTCAATCGACATCTAAACAGAATACAGCCACAACACTCCCCAGAGTGCCAGCTATGTAACTACCCCTACGAAACTGTTGAACACCATCTCTTTGAGTGCCCAAAACTCAGTGAGACAAGAAGAACGCTACTCCATCCGAGACCAGACAAGTGGAACACCTTGTACGGAGGAAAAGAACAGCTTGTGAAAACATGCAAATTCCACTACATGGCATTGGACCAAAGGGCGAAAGCTCATGCGCCGCTGGATCGATAACAACAACAACAACGAAGCGAACAGAAGGGCCCCTTCCAGAGATCTCTTCCTGTCCTGACGCAGCGAGGCATTCTATGAGTAGAGTACAGAAGAAGATGAAGAAAGTCCCACCCAGGCTGGACTGTGGTTATTTCCTAAACGTCAAGGCTCTTATATAACCTAACGGTTGAACATGGCTTCTTTGACTTGTGGGTTTTGTTTTACGAGTATTGCACTTTGTGTCACTGTGTTTTAATCACTCAGTGTGCGGTCCTATTGGGGTTTGGTTTTACTCCCAACTCAAAATAAGTGCAGTTATGAGAGATAGAGTTGAGTTAAGTGAAGTCAAGAATTGACATCACAGCACTCGAGGCATTCCCATGCATGCTCCGTCCTCATCTTCAGCAGCCAGCGCAGAGTTCCAATACTGATGGTACCGGCCACAATCTGGTTAAATGTCCGTCTTGCCTTTCCTCTAAGTGTAGTCAGCTGGCCAGACCCTCTGGTTTCACCCAGGTGCCTCATTCTCTCCTTATTCTTATTCTCTTATGGGAGATAATGCTGGAAAAGTTAGTGGACAGAGTTACGCCCAACTTCCTGTTAGCAAATAATTTTACTGAAATAAATAAATGGTCATGACTGATGATGACAAACTGAACTAAACCTAGCCAGCTTTGAGAGGACCTTTGTGAGAAATCGGCGAGAATGTTTGGGAAGAGGAAAGCAACAGAACCTGGGAAACGCAAAGGAGCGGAACTGATGAGTCAGGCATGTTTATTTGTTCATTATTATAAAGGTGTCATTAGTTATTATTAATAATAGTTATTGTTAAACAATTTTTTAATAATTTTATAAATTTTTTATGATGTGTTATTGTTTTTTTTATATTATTTTTTTTAATAATTGAATAATAATATTAATAAACATCGTCTGAGTTGTCCTGCCTTGCAACTCGGTAAGTCGCCAAGTAATATATAAAGTGAAGTTGAAATGATGGAACTGATACTTTAGTCAAATTTTTAAAATGCCCTCTACACCAATAAAACCAGCACAGTTAAATAGCTGTAAACAATCTCTTTCCAACGGTACCTCATTTAGGCTTGTGTGTCATTTCTGAGCTGAGATATGTAGGTTTTTTGTGGAGATGAGATGTAGAAACAAGAAAGCAGCTGCTAAAACTTGCGTCTTAGAAACAAGGTTTTCTCTGCGCAACCAAACTGCACACTTATCGTTTTGGCTTTGTTTACATTGGACTGTCTATGGACAAGATGGCAGGCAATGAGACACAGCCACTAGCTGAGACAGCGATTGCCTGAAAAATGTCACTGTACATCTACCTAGCCACTGACAAGAAAGAAATTTTATATACAAATGTAAAATTGGACGGAGAATTCAATCATAACTAGCATTACCATGTCTAGTAACAGGTAAAGCCTAAAGCCAACCCTGAATACTTATCGCTATTTTCAATCAAACTGATGTAACAGAAAAACAGAGGACGTCCGGCTGTCGTAGACATGCGCTGTTAATTGGGTTCCTTCCTGCCGTTTTTAGCTATTTACAGTGGGTGAAAATCACACCAATCGCAAAATTTCATGAGAGATTAGGACCCATCCCGAAACCCCAGCCGACATTTCCGAAACAAGTTTCAAACGGTTTCCATGGTAACGGAAATTGCCAAAAAGATCGCAAATTTCCGAAACTGTAGTCGCTAGAAACTGATCGTACCGAAAGAATTAGAAACAACTAAATCAAAACTGGAAGAAAAAAATACTAGGTAGATTATAAAGCATAAAATAGTTGTAAAATTAAAAGTCTCAGAAAGTGATAATTAAGAAAAGAAACAAACTCAAACGATTTCATCGCACTGCAAAAAAAGGAGTTGGAGGCAGTGGGAAGGGGTTGAGAGTGCAATAATTTTATAAAAATACTAATGTTACAAACAGTGCTTTTTCTACAGTTGGCTCATTAATCACCAAGTAACTCACCTCGTATTCAAAGGCTACTGATTACAGGGTACTTGTTTACATATAACTCATCTCCTTATGTAATGTTTCATTTAGAAAGACTTAACCTGAAATTTTCGTTTAGTAAAAAGAAAGAGTTGCTAAATGACTAAACATATACTTTGTTGGCTATCCTCAGAATAACGGCCACATATTATGGAGGCCACAAAAACACCCTAACAGGGCCTCAGTCACATGTAATTGCGTACTTCTGACTACAAGTAGTCCGCAATTTACATATGACTGAGGCCCTGTTTTTGGCTGCCATAATATGTGGCCGTTATCCCTGTGTGGGTTCCGGGGCCCTATTATAGGGAAAACAAGAATAGACCCACTGCCCACCCAAAAGCATGTCATAAGAGTCGACATATTGGGAGCTTCCTTTGAAGTCAGAGTGCATCTGCCTGCGAAGCAAGGAACCAGCAGTCTGCATACAAATGAGTCAGATGTGTAAAACAGATGCACATGCAAAACTCAAGTTCTGGAACAGGACTTGCAGTCCAAAAGTGGATGAACAACCAGAACTTTCGGCCAGAGTTTACACCTGGTGAACGCAAAGAAGAAGAAGATGTGGCCGTTATTCGGAGGATAGCCACTTTGTTTGAAGACAAACAAACTGGGTCTGCTTTCATCTTTGCCATTGCTCTTAGGAGGAAAGAGACATTTTAGTAAGCTATTTTCTTAAATGAGACTGGATTTGCTTTGGAGTTCTACAAAAGTCCGGGAAAGTCGGGAAATGTGAACCAGCGTCATTGCACACGGTTATAAACTATAAGTACTATGCCACCAGAATGCACAGCTGATAAGAAACTGTCCGCCTTTGTTGCCGTCTTCACGAAACTCCATAGCTACAGTGACATTCCTGCATTTACTCCAAAGCGTTAACTCTGGTACCCATTTACTAGAGGCCAGGTGAACCCCAGGAACTGTTTGGTTTCAAACACCAGCCGAGGGCTGCAGCGAGTTGCAGCTGGTTTTGAAAGCGAGTCTCCTATCCACTGCACTGATGTGGCCCCCTTTGGGATTCTACAAGTGGGACATGGAATAAAATAATCAAACAGTAATGTCTCACAGCCTTTCCTGTTCAAGCCTGTCTCACCTACCTGATTACATTTCCACAAGTAATTCAGCTGATAGTTGTGGTTTAACTCTTTGGGTGCCATGCAACACACCTTGCATTTATTTACTTAACATAAAATCTACTGCTTTCACTGTTATCTATCACAGCCAATTATGTTAACTCATAATACAGTAAAACCAACGCTCTTCAGAAAAACAGTCAATTCACATGAAAAAAAAAATTTTTTTACCCTGCAGATATGTATTAATTTGAATCCTATTAGCACACATTTTTTTAGCACAAACTCTTTATTTGTCAGAGATCTGGAATTCGTGTTACTGAGGTTGTACTATATCCTAGTTTTAAGTTTATTTCCTTCTTATCCATTGTTATTTAAACGTATTGAGACCAAAATACTTACTGTAAGCAGATTTTTGCAGTTAAAGAAAGAGTTGTTTGAAAACATTATTTACTTGAACTGAATGAATTAAATCTCTGAAAACAAAAGTATAAAGATGCAGCTCCTTAGAAAAAAATGAGTTAAGGTCATACTTGATTGGTACTGAAAGTTACAAACTCTCTTTCTCACCTCAATTGAGAAAAATTGGTTGCATAGACAGTTTATTCTATAAAATGCTGCTTTTGCTTGAGTTATTCTACAGTTTTTAATAATTTTGTATAACCAACAGATGGGTCTTGGACCCATTCCTGGAATTGAAGACACTGGTTCAATGGGATATGGAGATGACGACGACGATGATGATTTAGAAGCAGAATTAGCTGCCCTTGCTAATGAAGGCATTGAGTCTGTTAAAAAGCCAAGGCCAAAACGAACAGGTATGTACAACACTTGACACATATAGTTTTTTTTTTTTAATTTATTTTTTTATTTGATACTTTAATGTCTGGACTAAAGACAGTTTTGTCAAATTAATTAATTGAAATATAGTGGTACCTGCTTATACATACTTTATGTGTTCCTGATCCTTGGACTTTTACCAGACAGTATATATACCAAACAAATGTTCTCATCAGAAATAAATGAGAATGATTAATCTGTTACCTTGAAAAAAATATTCCAGATTGGCACATTATACATTGATGGTGTTGTATAACTAATTTATATACTGCCTAATACATAAATACCAAAGCAGCTTGATGAAGTAAATGAAAATTTAACCTCACTTTATTTTCCTGAGAAGAGTTGTGTGTCTACTAGAATGGAACTGAGAAAGGAGGAAGAAGCAGTGATATTGTTTAGAAGGAATGCCATCTTCCAATAACATTCAGGTCATGGGACAGTCTAATATTTCAGAGGGTAGTAGATAGACTGCATGCAGTCATGGGACCTAGGCTGCATGCAGTCGTGGGACCTAGGCTGCACTCTAATGGGACGTAGGTGGGTTGGGGTTAGCTCCAGCTCTAGATGTTTTGGGATCATTGAAAGCATCAGAAAGCCAGGAAACCCTGACTTACCACCCTCTAAAATGTTGGATTATCCTGTGAAATCATCTGGGGTAAGATATTAATAAAGAACTTGTGCATCTTTTCCATTCCCCCTGCTGAGTTTTCTAGTCACATTTTATGTTTTATTTAACACTTCTTGTTATCAGCACACCTGCAGTCACCAGTCACCTTCTATTTATATCATCATTTTAAAAGTATAGGTCTATCACTATACTGTCCCTCGTTTTAACCTTCAGTGTTTATTATCCTTCTTCATCTAAAAAATTTGTGAGTATCTGTAGTGAGTCATTTTCTACCTGATAAATTATGTATAATTGTAGAAATGACGTAAGATCATGAATATGAATTAGAAATTTCAATTTACCGGGGGCGGACTGTGGCAAAAGGTTGCCCAGATTCTGAATTGCGCAAAACAAGTGGTCCTCGAGTTTTTCACTTCATCCGGGTTAAACGCTTTGTTCATTTTGGCCAACCTTTTCTCGTGCCAAAGTCCGCCCCTGGTAAATTAAAATATATAATTTATATTCATGATCATACGTCATTCCTACAATTATACAGAATTTTATCAGGTAGAAAATGACTCACTACTGTATTAACAAACAAACAGACATCTTTAAAATTGTCCACAGGTTACTTTCACGTCCTACGTATATTTTGAATGATGATGAAATTATTTCTAGTGTGATTACCTTTGAAGAAGAAGCTGATGACGATGAAGGATAAGTTTTTAACCAGAAACCTGCACCTAGCCATTCAGAAGCAGAAACAGTGGTATCAAAGTGCATTGACTTGTTTGAAATGCAAGAGGAAAGAAATGAAACACATATCCTAATTCTGCATAAGATGCAGAACATCACCGCGCAAAAAGCCTGAGCCTCAAGATCACAGAATGAAATTATTTCTAATTAAATGAAGATTATTTTTTTTAAGTAACATAGGTTTATAGTATTACAATACATTTCTGTACATTGTTACTCTTATAGTGACATTTACACTGATCTTTTTGTAAAATTAAGTACAATGTGTATGTATTTTCACTTTTAAAGGATTTTCTTTTCTTTTTCGTCCCAAGCCCACAGTAAAATCAGTTTACTGTACATATATATTCAGACATTTCTGTTATCCATCTATTCAGTTACCCATCACAGCCCTGTCCAGGCCGTGACGGTTAATCAGAGTTTTACTGTATAGGTTTAACACTAAATACCCACTGCAACAAAGGCGTGAAACGGGTCCTTGACTATTTTTGTTGTTGGTAAAACACTGTTTCTCCAACACCCTGAATATATTAATAGATGTTTGTGAGTGGGGGACCTCAGCAAAGTTGGATGCAAAACATTGAAGATGCATTGGCTATGAAAGTACATTGGGCTGGAAAATTAGCTAGAATCAAGAGACTTCAGGCATGATGAGAGTGACCTTCTATAGAGGACTTGTTGATTGAAGATGATGTTACTGGGAAGCTTCTTTTTTGTGTGCTTTCCTTTCTCATTATCTTGTATATATTTCAGGCAATATGGGAGTTGTAGACATTCATCAGTTGGCTGCTGTTGGAATGCAGGATGTTGATGAAGATGTCTCCGACACTGAAGATCCAGATTTACTGGTAATTTTTTGTATGGCTCAGAAATATGCCACTGAGTTGTGTTGGTGGGTGGGTTAAATGACATTTTGTGTGTGTGTGTGGAAAATAGGTTACAAATACATTGAAAGCTTAAGTATGCAGTTTTACATCATCGTTGGAGCTACAGAGTTAGTACAGCTCTCGTGGCAGGTGGCTAGCCATTCTGCTGTAAAACATTTACCCCAGTAGGGAAATACCCAATGCAATGAATCAATCGCCTTAATTTAGACATTTAATCCTACAGTTTACATTAAAGACTACAATTTACTTTCAAGACAACACTTTAAAGTGACAGCTGTAGGTTACATTAAATCATACGGTTTAAGCTGAACACTATATTTTACATTAAAGGTTTCTATTGTTTGCATCGTATCCCACAGTGTTTATTGAAAGCTACAGATAACTTTGAATATTGTAGTTTACATTGAATCCAGCACTTTACACTGAAAACTTCAGTTTACATTGAATCCTCCTGTTACCACACCACATATCTTGTCTTGGAGAATCATCCCATTCACAGAGTGGATGTTCTTCACTCGGAAGGTATTAATGTCTAACATTTTTCGTCAGATGTCTGTTCCTTCACCTCTTATGTATATGTACATATTAACATATACTAAACTTGAGGCTTCATAAATGTGGTTTTACAAAAGAACTAAAATTCCTTGAACAGCCAAAATGAGAAATTTGAGGTTTTGAAAGAGTTCAGGGACTAAAGACAACTTATTGCAGATATCGGACAGAGACATTTATAATTGTTTTGCCATGTTATTGGAAGAAAAATCTTGGAACATTATATGATAACAGCGAAGGTTTGTGGGAAAAAATAGACAGTGCTCGAAGATTAGTATGGAAGAGTGTCCCTCTTCAGACTTAGAAATCATTGTGTGCTAGGCTTTTATTGGAAATTCACATCTGCAGAGAAGAACAATATTCCCATCACTTAACTGAGGTGCAGATGAACATGCTGATGTCATAATGACAGTTGAAAGATGGCCACCCCACTTTTGACCTGCACCAGAGAGGAGCAGCATTCTGTTATCTATTTTTTGTTCATAACAAACTTTAAAAAAGGATCCATGAAAGGTGAAAGGTGTAAAAATTCATCGACAAATGAAGATCCATATGTGGATGCATGCCTGTCAGTCCAGCAAGTGAATAAGTGGAGTAGAAAGTTTCAGAACAGTGTGACTTCTGCATCAGACCGTTCAAGAGCAGGTCCGGCACACCAGATAGGACCCCGGAGTCGATTGCAGCCGTTAAAGGCTTTGTACAGGAAAACTGCCAGTTGACTGAGTGACATTGCTGCACATCCTGAACCTTCACTTGCCCATGAACTTCTGTAGATTTCACCCCTTTACTGATGAAAAAAACAGTTTATAGGCGCTGTTTCTGTTTGGCAAATTTCAAAAATTGGGTGAGGGAGGTCACCTTTAAACTGTTGTTATGATGTCACAATTTTCATTTGCGCCGTGATGTCACATGTTTCACACTCTTGATATTCTGTGATATTATTTACAATATACCTCTCAACTTTAAAATGCAAACTCTTTGTGCAGTTCTAATATTCATAAATTATTTAAAAGTCTTCAGCATCTTTATTCAAATAAGACAAACTAATTGGGAACCCCTACAAGAGATTTTTGTTCTGAAGATCAGTCAATAAGATTAAAAGTTTTGTTCTTCAATGTATTTACCAGGCTGAGCTAGAAGAGCTAGAGGATGATGTAGAGGAACCTGTTCCTTCAAAGACTCCTCAGAGATCACCCATTCCAGCTGCTGCATCACCATCTCAGAAGACAATTACTGCATCCCCTATCTTTGAACCTACCCTTTCCTCAGGTGTCGGCCCTGCTCCTGCACCTCGAAATTTACCATTGCCTCAGAAAACGCCACCACCAGCCCCTGCAGCAAAACCTAGTCCAGCGCCGAGTCCTAAACCAGCTTCCGCCCCTTTGAGTAGCTCTAGTGGTGGAGGAGGCGGTGCAGTTGCAGTGTTGGAGGAAAGACTTAATTTATATAAACAAGCTTCTGCAATTGCTAAAACAGCAGGAGACAGTTCAAAACAGCGGAGATTAGACAGAGGAATTAAGGTACATTCAGTTCATCTTTATCATTTAGTTACAATTTAGAAGAATTGCAACATGTGGTTCAGTCAGAACAGCAGTGGCAGTTCAAGAAAGACAAGTCTAAAGGGAGTTAAATGAAACCCATAACTGATGTGGATGCCATGCCCACACTGCTTCAGAAGATGTCAAGATTGGCCACGGTCACTTTAAGGATTTACTCACATATCGTTCACAGAGCATCGCAAACCAAACCCAGCTGTTGTGGTTTTTATGTTATACATATTTTGTCTTTGCCTTCTAAAAGGTTGACACTTATATTACTATCAAAATTCACACAAAGCTGTTCTGCCAAATCGCCAGCTGCTGAATCGAACTGGGTATGTCTGAATTATGAACAGTATTTGAACGCTGTGTTGACTTCGAAGTCGGGGTCAGTTATAAATAATGATGTCTTACTATGTTCTTGGTAGAGGCTAGACACCTACCTACGAGTTCAGGTCCTGACTTTTTTTGACACTCAACATGTGCTGATTGGTCTGTAAAATGAAGGTCTACCAATATATGCCCAATGCACCTGAAGTTGTGGAAGAGGGTCCTTTACTTTCACTTTACTGTGGATTTGATCCAAAAGACCTTTGTGCCTGCAGATAACGACTTCACCACTACAGCTCCCATACTCTTCACTTGATGTAGGCCTGTTTCACTAATGGATTCAATACAACATATTTTGCAGCTGATTGCACAGATTTCTTTGCAGCTAGTTCTATGGTGGTGATCCTCAGTGTCAGTGATTCCTCTAGGGATCTACAAAACGAATTTATGGAATCTGTGATATCATTTAGGAGGGAAAGACGACCCCCAACCCTCTTTTTATTATTTCTGCAGTTCTAGTGAAAATTTACTTTTTTATTTTATGTTTTAATATGACTTACAAATTGGAGAGTTTAAAGCAGACTTTTGTAAATAATAGACGTCAACTGGTCTTATCTAATTGAAAATCACTGCTCTACATAAATTTTTTTTTTCTGTCCGCAGACTCTGACAGATTTACTGAAGCAGGCTAAAGCTGGAAAGCCAATAAATGAAGAAGAAATTCCTCCAGCTGTTGCACTGGGAGCTAGTGTTGCTGTATCAGACGCCTCCAGCCCGTCTGCAAATTCTGTACCTGCTGGTTAGTGAATTTTCTCTCATAATTCATACTTCATCTTTTGCTTCCTTCTCACTTTCTATTTTCTATCAAGGCTAACTCCCAATTCCAATTCCATTTGTCCAACAAAAATTCAAAATTGATCCTTTTTCATCTGCCTGGAGGCCTGCTATATGAAGGAAGGTTCCTTGGCTATCTTATTTGATTTTCAAGTATTTGTGGTGTGCAGTCACACCTGATATTCCGGTTCTTTGCTTCCTAAGTCCGGTGTGGTGCTTGGGGTTGTTGGGTCTGGTCTGGTCCAGTTCTCTAAGTGCTGATATCTGTGGGTTTTAGCTGATTGTTGCTGGTGCTTGGTTTTCCTCGTGCTGATCGCTGCGCTGGTGCCCTATTGCTGCTTGGTTGCCGTTCTGTAAAGCCGCCGGGGAGAGCCAAACAAATACCAGGTCACAACATCTCCAACAATGCTCCTTTTCAGGACAACAGGGCCGTCACAATCTGTTGTTGTGATCAGCCCATTTTTTGTGTGTGTTTTTTTTTTGTCCACAGAGTGTGAAGTAGTGGAGGTAAGATAGGCTGCAAATGAGAAAGGTAATTTGCTCGAATGTGCCAGGAGATGTGATAGTTAGGTCGAAAGAATGAGAGCAACAGATAGTTTGAGAGAGGTGGCTTCCCGACGCTGGTACTTCTGTGGGTTGAGGTCCTGAGGTCTGAAATAAGAAGACTGAAAGGCATTTTTAACATACATGTGGTTTGGGGCTGGGGTGACGTAAGAGAGACTGGAATCCCCGAGTGCTGGTCCCCTTTGGTGCAATGTCTTCAGCAGTCTGCTTTAGAGCGTCGGATGGCCTTTGGTGGTTTCCGTTGTCATCTTCTCCCTGAAAATATGCTAATTTAAGATTTTGTTATCACTTGGGCATTCACGGTGGTATTCGTCATTAGGGCAGTGTCTGAAATAAGACTGATAGGCATTGTTTAAATACGTGTGGTGTGGGGGTTATGGTGGCTTAAGAGAGACTGGAATTCCTGAGTGCTGGTCCCCTTTGGTGCAGTGCCCTCAGCTATCTGCAACAGAGTGTCGGGTGGCCTTTAGTAGGTTCCGTTGTCTTCTTCCTCCTGAAAATATACTAATTTAAGATTTTTATTACATCTTTGGCATTTACGCTGTTATTTGCCAGTGGGCAGGCAGAGATAGTGGAAGTAGCATAGGTTTAGAGTGCTGGAATGCTTCAGAGGATATAAAGTGAGGTAGGAAGAGTGAGGGGAAGGATAGCCTGTCCTGACAGGTGTCACTGGTATTCGCAGGATCTGATCAGGTCACATCTGGTCTGGGTTGAGGAATGGCTCTCAGATTGCTTTCCCTGTTGTCGATATGAACTGCTTGACAAGTCGCTGAGTCTGGTCCTCAGTGCACAGGCTGAGGCAGTTTTCAACAGTCATTGGTTCGTTACTTGCTCTGACGAGCTCTCGTCCTTCAAGGTCGAAGGTTTTACAGTTCAGCCGGAAGTGTTCCATAGAGTTGTTGGCCCTGCATTCCTAACACACAGGCGTGTGGAATCGGTCTGGCCAACCCCATTGTCAGACACCTTTTTATAGGTGTGACAAAGGTACCTTTGTTATTTGTTCCAGTGTGCCCACACTTTCGTTAACATGTAAACACTGATTAACGTGTTCCAATTCTCAGAGAATGTTCATTTAAGTACTTATGATAATTGCAAAGTTAGTCTGGCTTCCACATCAGGTTATCGACTACTGAGTAGCCCCCCATTTATTCTTATAGCTCACAAGCAAACTAACTTTATATGACTGGTATCATCAGTTAAAGGACAAAGGAAATAGCTGACCAAAATCAGCTTCAGTTTTGTTCCAGGGTATTCTGGTGTAAAGGGCAATGAACGAGCTGACAGACTTCTTCTTCTTCTTTCGTTCGCCTGAAATAAGTTGTCTATATCAGCAGTTTTGTCTCTTGTATAAATTTCACTGTCGTTGTTAGTTCATTCAGTGGTCCATAGAGTTTACGTTCCACTGCTGTTCTTTCTGGCCAAAAGGTTTGCCTTAATGTGTCCTGAAGTACATGCTCTGCTGTCTGGGGCACATTTCTACAGGTGCACATGGCTGATACACCTATCTTGAATTTTGTGTACGTGCTCACTTGGAAAATGGACGAGCAATGGCCAGGGGTGATATACTGAATGCCCTCAGAGAGGCAGCTTGATTAAACGAATCAAGTAATGATTGTGAATCTGCAACACTGAGGAGACTACACGAACATTGCATCAAAAAGGGTGAAACCAGACACGAGCACTACACAGGGGCCCCAAGAAGAATATTAAACCAACACAGAACTGCTATCATAAGTCACTACACGCTGAGTGAGACACTGAAGAGGGGATCTGAGCACTTATGGACCTATTGGTTTGATGTGCAATGATGATAATCTGTCGACTAACCAACTAAACGATAATGACATATTGGGCGCATCATGAGGGGAGCCAGACTGAGAATCATCAAAAAGAAACTAAAATAGAAAACATTTGATTGAAAAAAATATATATATTTTAAAATATCTGCGAGGAATGTTGATAGAAAGGCTAATGGCGCTACACTACATTCCATCCTGGATTTTGAAAAAAAAAAAAAAGGCCATAGAATGGGATGGCAGTAAGGCTTACTTAGGCATCAAATGCCTGCAGAAGTATGATGTGTCAGCAAAATGGCACAAATGTTGCAGCCATGTTGTAAACAGGCACAATGTATTAACATCTTCGGATTAAAACAGAAGAGGAAAAACAGAATTGAGGAATAGCCATCTGTGAACGAACAAACAAACTTTATTTTCAAAGGGGTCACAAATTAGGCACGCAGGCCCGTCTTACATTCGGCCCTTCCACACACCTGTCTTTCACACTGCAGCTGTCATATAAACAGCACAGCAGGAGGATGCTATGATTTATTTCCTTGATTACATTTGCAACTTAGATTTATGCAAGCGATAAATAAAATAGTTTTGTTTCAGTTTCCCCAACTCCTGTGGCACTACCAAAACCAAGTCCAATTTCTGCAGCCCCTCTGGCACCACCAAAACCAAGTCCAGTTTCTGCAGCCCCTGTGGCACCGCCAAAACCAAGTCCAGTTTCTGCAGCCCCTGTGGCACCGACAAGACAGAGTCCACAGTCAGGGCTGACATATGCTTCTGTTGCTTCATCAGCTACAAGTGGTAGGTTTCTCTCTGTCTTATGTAGAATGTAAATAATGAAGACTCAAACAGTATTGTTTTTGGCACTTTTTCATTATTCCAAATTGTAGTGTTATATTGTGCTCGAAGACAACTTACCACAAAAATCAGCAAGAGACAGTTGTCATTTGTTGGTTACGTAGTGAGAAGAAGGAAACTGAAACATCCTGTGAACAAGCCAAAAGATCTGTGGAAAAAGAGGCAATTCAAGATGATTCTTGACAGCCTTTTGTCATAGCATGGTGTGGTGACAACATATAAACTGATACATGTTGTTGAAGATGGCAGTTTGTGGAGAGGCATGATTACCCACACTAGTAAGACACTTGATGATGATTATGTTTGTGCTATAAGAACCACCCCTCCTTAGCACAATGCCTAAGCAGTAGTAGAGTCTACATGTTGCCCATGCATCATGTTCCCTGCCTTGTTTACTTTAAAGATAAGCTAACACCAATGTATTGGGTACAAAGTATGCTACAGAATCTGTCACATAAGAAGAGCAGTGTTCTGTCTGTCCGCTTCTCAGTTTTCCTCCTAGACTACCTGCCAACCAAGGCTAAGCGTTTGGTCTGCCTTACCATAACATGAATTTTCAGGTTACTTTTTTTCTTCCTAGGGTAAGATTAGTATCCTCCCCAATGCACTGCTCCATCCGAAGCCGTTGAACAATATGTGATTATAGGTTTGGTATACACCACTCAACATTCAGCATTAACAGAGAATGGGTAGTACCAACTACTTTAAACATTAGCTTCGTCATATCTGACCAATACCTGATTAAACACAAATAATATGTTGCAGTTTATATATTGGCATATTTCACAGTATCTCGGCAAGTACATTTCTAGCTGGGAACTCTCATTAGACCAGTCGTTTTATATGGCTCTGAAACCTGGAGTACAGCTAAAAGACATGAGGCCTTGTTAATGATTTGTTTAAGTCTTATGACAAACCGTTACATCCATCAATGATCTGAACAGCAGAGAATTAAGAATGGGAAACAACAGAATACGTTATCTATTTCAATCTCCACTAGTTACTAGTACCATTAGGGCTAATAGACTGCAATGGGTGGGGCATATAGAGAGAGTGATAGATAGCAGAGAGACAAAAAAAGCTGACACAAAAGAATTGAATGGGATTAGACCACTTGAAATAAAATGACAATTATCTTGTTCATTTATTGGTGGTCGTCTTTCGTTGTGAATATGTCTGCTGTAATTGTTTAATGTTTGAATAGTGGTCCTCCCTGTGTGGGTTCCGGGGCCCTGTTATATGGAAAACAAGAATAGACCCACTGCCTACCCAAAAGCATGTTGTAAGAGTCGACTAATTGAGAGCTTCCTTTGAAGTATGAGTGCATCTGCCTGAGAGGCAAGGAACCAGTGATTTGCATACAGATGAGTCAGATCTGTCAAATGGATGCACACGCAACACTCAGGTTCTGGAACAGGACTGCAGTCAAAAGTGAATGAAAAACCAGAACTTTCTGCTAGAGTTTACAGCTGGTGAACGCGAAGAAGAAGAAGAAGAAGAATAGTGGTCTTCTTGGTTATCTGTATCATGGAGAAAGATAAGTTTGGCTGAACAATCAAAATACGATAAACAAATAACTTTTATTGATTATCTATCATAGTAAGAAGCAGAGAAAACAGGACACACTAGACAAGCAAAACGAATTGAAAGCTATAGTTAACCATGCTAGGATCCGAACCTGTCACTTTCAAATGACGATGATGCTCGTTGTGGGAACAAGTGCACTTCGACTCAAGATCAAATAAGCACCCCCAAAAAAGTGTTGTAGGCCAGATTTTAGGCCTCAGGGCTTTGCCAGCTGTTTATTTCTGAACTCACAGAAAATTTAACTTTTACAGCAACAAAACAGATTCTGCTAACCAGAAGAGACCAGTACAGGAAAGCAGCTCTCATGGCTAAACAAGAAGGGGACATGACGAAAGCTGGCCAATATGTGAGGATAGCTAAGGTAAAAAAAAATATATGTATATATAGTAAAAATATATTGCTTTGTTTATGAAGTAAAGGACTTTTTTACACCAGTGGCACATAAATGTTTATATATGACTCATATTTGTATTTATAAATCAGCACTTGCTAGGTGATATAGTCGGCATCACATAAGCTATCATTGTTTCCCACAATGTTACCTGCTACCCGTTTTAGGTTAGTTCAACCCAGCAGCGAGGGTCAATTTTGAGATAAATCTGACCCAAACATTCCATACAAAAAGACTGAATAATATCTCATTATAAACAAAACCTAGACACTCGTGTCCCAGCCTAATGGTCTTGGATTACAGATTACAGTACTAATCTTCACTTTCCTTATGTGCTCAGGTAACACATGGAAATTTCAGTGATTTTACAAAATACACTAAAGGAGGGTTGGAGTGACACTAGTTCTCTTATCCTGTAGAAATATTTACCTGCAAAATCCAGCCAGTCAGGAAAAGTCTACAGACAGTTTGGCATGAGTGGATTAAGTGTTTTTGCTCCATAGGAAGATAAAAGGCAGAAAAAGTAAATCATTGTTTAGACCAGTGATTCGAAATTAGCTTTGACCTTTTGTTTGTTTGTTGGTTGTGTTCACTGGCTGTAAATTCTGATGGAAAGTCCTAGTTGTTCATCCATTTCTCAACTTTGGCTTTGTTTCAGGACTTGAGTTTTGCCTGCACATCCATTTTACAGATCTGCTTATTTGTATGCAGACTGTTGGTTTCTTGTCTGTCAGGAAGGTGCAATTGCGATTTTAAAAGGAAACATCCCCAGATAGTCATCTTCTGTGACATGCTTATTGAAAAAGGGGGGGGGGGGGGGGGGGGAGCAGTTGGTTTTTTTTTTTTTTTTTTGGTGGTCTTCCAAAATGGGACTCCAGAACACATGCAGGGAAAGCTAAGACTAGTGAACCCCCCTTTTTTTTTTTTAGAACGTCTTCTATAGACCCCATACTTTTTAATGTTCATATTAAAAGAAATAGTAAATTTATATTAAAATCACAAAGAGGATGGTGCTGTCAAGTTAAAGGATTGGCTTTTGTGTGTGTGTGTGTGTTGTAACTGATATCACAGACCTGTTAAATTTGTCCTGCTGCAGACCACCAGATAGGAAATGCTGATTTATACTGTTTTGTTTGGAGACATACTTTATGCTGTTTGTATTTTCGAGAATCATTATGTGAATTGTTTGTGAGAGGAAATTAGGTTGGGCATTCAGTGGTACCACATGGTGCAGAAACAAATAAAAAGAGAAATCTTAAAAAAAAAAGTCTTTGTGACAACTCAAAGCCAACGGTACAATTGGGAGGATAGCATCAAAACCCACAACAGCCTTCTGAACGTGAGGCTAACCATGGAGATTGATTTGTCTCATACCCTAAAGGCCTTGGATTTGTTTCATGGATTTTCAACATTCAGAGACTGCTGGAGCTGTAGAGTTTGTGCCTTGTGGGACACTTTTGGTGGGAAGCTAATGTTTCTGCTGAGAGTGTTTGAGCCCTAATTAGGTGCAATGAAATCGAGCTTATTGACTGTAGACTTTATATGGTTTTTTTTTTTTTAATTTAATTTTTTTAAGAAGTCCAGTTTAACCCTTTTACCCTTGTAAACAGCAAACCTGGCACTTCCTGTAGGTTCTAATTCCCCAATAATCCAGCTGAACCAGCTTTTCTTCAATAACATGTTTACAAGACACCTAGTTTATACCATTGCCTGGATTAGCACCTGCGCAGAGTTTGTGATGTCAATATTTAAATTTTGTTAGTTAACTAAAAATAGCATTTAAGGAGTTTCCTGGTGAAACCAGATTCTATAAAAGCCAAGCATCCCTCATAAGTTTCCCAGAGCCTCAGTGATAGAGTCATGGGATCACGACATGAGTCGGGTGACACAACATGAGACACCCGTTACATATTTTTAAAGAAATGTAAAACTGATTTGTATGAACAAATGATATTTTTAAGCACTTTTTGTTCTTAAATTAGGAATTCCTTCGGGTTTATGGTCCCTTTTTTAAGCCTTCCTGGGGCGTAGGGTTAGTCTTTTTAATGTCTGTCTCTAGTGTTTTATATGAAAGTTCTACTCTTGCATAGGTAATATACTGTTCATTGTTTTCCTTGTGTTATTTTTTAAAGCAATTTGATGCAGTAATTCAGGCTGCAGATGAAGGCAAACCTGTAGATTTGTCTAAGATGCCACCAGATCCTGCTGAATTATCAGGTAATTTGTTTTTTCTTCTAGCTAGAAACTTTCATTAAACCACTTGTTTTATGCAGCTGTGAAACTTGGAGTACAACTAAAAGACATAGACTTATTAAAGACTTTAGATCCATCAAAAATCCGAACAGCAGAGAATGGAGAGTGAGAAGCAACAGTAAAATACATAGTCTGTTTAAATTACTACTGGCTACTGGTATCATAAAAGTTAATATGCTAGAGTGAGTGGGTCATTCCTATAAATAAACAGAGAGGGGAACCATTTGAGGCCGTTAAATATTATGAATTAATCAAGTAACAGAAAGTATTGTGAACGGCACTCATAGAAAGAAGTAGAAAGATAGAAGAACACACTAGACAACATAAAAATCGAAAGCTATAGTTACTGTGCCGGGAATTGAACCTGTCACCTCCAGACGGCGTCTGCGCCTAGCCATGAATACAAGTGCACTAAGATACATGGAGTGAGTGAGTGGGGCAGAAGGGATGGTACCAGGAAGAAAGGGCCGGGGCCGACCAACACGAAGATGGGCACAGAATATAAGTGAATTGATATGAAAGTACATGAGTACATGTACATTTCGGAGGAGCAAATGAATCACCACAGTCTGGGGAGAGTGATGCAGCAGGGGGTGATGAGGGGGTCTGGCCGATACTCGATGCTCAGAGGAAAAGCAAGACGGGCATATAATCAGAATGCTACTGGCACCATTGGTATTGGAACTCTGCGCTGGCTGCTGAAGATAGGCGCGGAGCGCTTATGGGAATGCTCGAGTGCTGTGATGTCAGTTCTTGAATCAACACAACTCGTGTATAAACGCAGCTGATGTTATGCTTGTAATGGCACTAGTGGTGTGTTTATTCTTCCTAATTATGGAGACTTAGGGGACACACACAACGGAGGTGGACTGCAGTAAAAAATATATATGCATCCACTACTTTTTTTCAGGAGTATTATATGTTGAGGCCCCAATCTTTTCCACAGAGTGGCTCTCCTATTACTGACCTACAGCCACAAGATCAGTTTTTTTGTTTCTAAACCATTTACCATGAAAATCACAATCTAGTGCATCAAGAATTGTGAAATGCGCTCACTAGCCTCTTAAGCTGCAGAGCTGCATAATCACTTATTACTATTCATTTAACTATATCCGGGTAGCTCATAATAGTTTTGGGGATTAAATTGGTTCATTATTAATAAAACGTTAGTTGCATATCTTTTACAGGATGATGCAGAACCAACCCCAGCATTTTTGGCTGTTGTGGTTATTCTATGAAAATTTTACTTTTAGTAGTTTGCTATTGCTTTCTGAATGGTCAGCTCTCGGTACCACTGTTTAAACCAACACAAGACATTCTGCTGCCAAATCGCCTGCAGCTGGACAGAAAACTGGCACCCTGGCATTACAAAGTACGTTTGCAACGCCTAAGCCACAGACGCCCACCCATTGTTAAAAGCACTTGTTCAGATTTTTTTTTTCTTTTTTTTAAATACACATAAATTCTTGTTAACATAATAATAGGAGAATCGACAAATACTCTTGCCACCCCAAAGTCGACAGTTCCAGTGCAGAGAGTAAGCAACCAAGCTGCTGGGGAGGACTCAGAATTTGACCTCCCTAAAACAACAGCTGAAGGTAAAGTCTGCAAACATTTTACATTTCTTTTTTTTCATAGAACTGCAGCTTTCCTGTGGGTTGTGGGGCCCCATTGTAAGGAAAACAAGAATAGCCCACTGCCTTCCCAATAAGCATGTTGTAGTAGTTGACTGAATGGCGACTTCCTCCGCAGTCAGAGTGCATCTTCACGAGTGGTAGGGAACAACCAACTGCACACAAATGAGCCAGTTTAAAACAACAAAAAAATACATACAAAACAGAACATGGCACAAAGCCAAAGTCCAAAAGGACAGACAACCAGGACTTTCTGCCGGAGCTTAGAGCCGCTGAACAATGAAAAAGAAGAAGAACTGCAGCTAATATTGTTTCCTGTTTAAGCTTCCATCAAGATTGAAAAGCTTTACATAGATTTAAATGTAGAAAGGGTGCCGGAAATTTATATTCACTTTCCTTGTACTTCGTCTTCTGCTTTACTGCTTGGGATGTCCTAAGAGATACAAGGTTGTGGTTCTTGCCAATCTGGTCAGCTTCATCATAGACACCGCTATTGTAAAGTTTCTCTGAGGTTTTTCCATATTTTCTTGGGCTCTATGGGCCTCGCCTCCCTTGGTATATACCTTGTATTGTAGTTGGTAAAGAGAAGGACACTTTTTACACCTATTGCGCATTGGGCATATAGTTCTGCATCTGTATTTTTAATGACCAGCTGGTATTCAGTAAAAGATTGAATTATGGGATCAGCATCATGCTAGCAACATTAGTTTCCCAGGTCATTGCCTGCTACCCATTTCTGGCTAGGTGGATCTTTGAGATCTGTGAGCCAAAGCCAGTTTTGAAAATTATTAACAAGCAGCCTCTGTAGCGCAGCGGCTAGACGCTCGCCTGCTGATCGGAAGGTCGTGGGATCGGGTCCTGTCAAAGCCAGACTTTTTTTTTTTTTAAATGACCTTGACCCCCAGGTTGACACGACTTTGAGTGGGTACCAGTTACAAGTGCTCGGAGGTAAAGACGACTGACGTGATCTGACCACATCACTCACCAATTGCTGTTTGGTCTATGAAATATAGGTCTAGCCCTGTATGCCCAGTATGCCTGAAGGCAAGGAAAAGAGTCCTTTACTTTTACCTCCTTGTAATCAAGGGTAAAGGTAATGTTAAAGAGAAACTGCTGTAGCCATTTTGGGAGATTTGGTCTCATTCTTAAGCTTCCAGATTTTTCCATTCCATAGTTGTCTGAATTGTGCTGGTTTCTTTTTGCTTTCTCCATGAGTGTATTTTTAGATTTCATATTTTGAATGAGTAAATATTGCTTATAGTGTTGTTTGCTGCCTTTTTATTGAAAACTTCTAATTCCCTTAAAACTTCTTCCACACTTTTTATATCTTTAGTCTTTAATGTATGTTTCACAATAAAATTAGGTCTGTTGGAAATCCCGTTTTGAATCCAAAGTAAAGTTTTCACTGTGGCTTGTTGTAGCCAGACCTGATGCTTAAGTCTCGGTAAACAAGACATAAATAGGATGTGATGTGGAGTTTGAAGAATTGTCTAATGATTTCTTCATAAGATTGACAATCATTATCAGATGGTTTGTTGCCCAGTTGTGTAAGCATTTCCTCCACATCTTTCTCTTTGCCTTCTAGTACTTTTCCCATGTAAGACGCATTTTTCTGTTCCTTCATTTATCGATAAACCTTGTGTATATGTGTGCATGTTTATATATTTGTGTGTGTGTGTGTGTGTTTAAGATCTATATATATATATTTATTTGCAATGGCGCATGCTGTTAAACCATGTCTATCAGAGCCTCTGTTGTGTGTGTCTGTGTGTGTGCGCGTGCATGCCCATGGTATTCTAGGATCCTTTCTGAAGCATTCCAACTCAAAAGCTCCAGTGTTCTTCTTAAAAGACTGAGATAGAATTCACGAGGGGAACAATGCATGTGTGTGGGTTTTTTGTTTTTGTTGTTGTTGTTGCTTACTTACAATTCTCAGCATTATTAATTAATTACTCATCACACACAAAACGCACAGCTGCCTCTACCTCCAGTTTCTTCATTTCATTACTTCTCCAGCATTGGCATCCATGCAAAGGAACAACCCACACAACTTTTCAATAAATGAAGTAAATTTGTTTGTTATAGTTCTGTTATTTTTTTTTTCACTACATTGCTCATTCCTGTAAAATAATGTTTGGTAATAATTTTTATTATGATCTATATAAAAATATCATTTCAGAAGAGAAGTCATTATTCAATGCTCCAGATGCCCCCAAAACAATTATGGAAGCCTTAACTCAGCGACTAGAGAAATACAAGACAACAGAGAGTGCTGCCAAAACAGAGGGGGATAGCAGCAAGGTCAGACGCATGGGCAGAATAGTGAAGGTAAGGATGCATATATGGATGATTTCAGTGTGAAATACTGCCAATCCTGGCTTTGCTGGAGTCTGTGAACATGGGAGGGTTGATTCTTTATCTTCCAAAGAACCTGTTGTGAGCACTGTCCACATTGATAAGGAATCAGTGTTACAGTCAGTCCTTAATGGGAGACTATTGGATATTAGTGAAGGAAGGGCACACACATTGACAGTTTTGGTTTCAAATATTACTATTCACGCTTTACAAGGGTCGTGGCCATTAGGAAGCTAATTCTTTAGTTTCCAAAGAAACTTGTATTGGTCACTTTCCACATGGATAAGGAATCATTGCTACAGCCAATCCAAGGTGGGAGACTGTACATACATAGGCAGTTTCAGTGTGACTTATTGCTATTGTTCAGCCTTTGTCCAAACAGCAGCCATTAAAGAACTAATTCTTTAGCTTTCAAAGAAGTGGCCAGTTTCCATATGGATAAGTAATCATTGCTACAGCTACTGCCTTGGGCGGTCAAAATGAGCACATAATTATAAATTTGATACAGCTACTCTTGGCTTATTCCTCTTTTTTTTTCGTCCTGTATTTGTGACTTTAAATTATATTTATAGTGCTGTGGTTTTTTGTTTTTTGTTTCTTCATTTGTCTGAAGATGTGGTCAAGACCCTTTGGGAACAAATGGATAATGCAGAAGCACAAATAAATTATCCTGTTCAGGAGATATAGATATATGATGTAGTGGGAAGTGACTAAGGGAAACTCGACACTCAGAAGAAAGGCAAGGTGGGCATACAGTCAGACTGCTGCTGGTACCATTAGAATTGGACTGCTGAAGATGGGAGATGGATCACTTATGGGAATGCCCCATGTGTTGGGATGTCGGTTCTTAACTTAACTCACCTGATTGGTCTGATTTGCACTGCTTGCTCAAATCCCTAGGTCTCCAAGTCTGTGGTTACCAGTTTTAACCTTTTAGCCTGAGCAGACTAAATCTAATAGCTTCTGGTTGTGACGCAGTCCCATAAATGCTGATATACCTGCTTGTCTGCAGTGGAATGTTCTTGGACAGCATAATTAAATTCACTTAGTTCTGTGTGCGCCTGCACAGTTTTGAATAGACCAGGATATGAAAATGGTAACTAAAAATAATTGGGGGGGGGGGGGGGGGGGGGGAGAGAAAGTCCTCTTATGACCCCAACGGATTTTTCCCCAAAGTCCTAGTTGTGCACTTCTTTTTATGCAGCTGTTATAATAAATAAAATATGCTATCAAAAACTTTACTAAAATGTCTTTGGTCCCAAATTTTTTTTGGCCAGTCTTTCTGTATTTAAAAATGTATTGCTGTAGTTAATAAATACATACAAATAAACTATTTCTAAATAAACTAATCTGGCAACAGTCTGGGATGAAAAAGTTAACCCATATTTTGATTTTTTTTCTTTCTAAGTGGATTTTGCTCCCAGGCTGACACAGCCTGACATGTTTACCAGGTATTGTCTTGGGAAGTAAAGGTGGCCGGTGTAGTACTGATCACATAACTCATCGAGTGACAGTAGGCCTATAGAAATATTAGTCTCGCATCGTGTGCCGGATATACCAGAGGTGTGAAAAGAGTCCTTTACATTGCTTTTACCTGCTCCACATTAGCACCTGCAATCAAGTGAAAGTGAAAATTTTGAGATGATGCATCTTTCCGGTCGTGGACTCTCATCTCACTCAGTCTTTGAAACAGAAAATCAAAGCTTTTGAACTAAAATGCTATAGAAAAATTCTTAGAATACTGTAGACCAAAAAGGAGAAAAACACAGACATCCTGCAAATCCTGATACCTCAAGGACAACTGGCTGGTAAACAGCATTCTCTCCTGAAATCTGAGGTATTTTGGACATGTCAAGTGCCTTGTTGTATTGGAGAGAATGGCGACAGAGGGTGCAGTTTCCAGAGAATGAGGCAGAGGCCACCTTCATGAATGTGGATACAGGCCATTGAAGATGCTTTGGCTTTACGTTCTGTAAAAGACACCATGTTTGATGAAGACTCCACAATAAATTAACCTCAATAATGTTTCAGTCCTACAAGGTCCTAGCTAATCAATCAGTCAATCAATCAGATGCAGTCTCCACATAAAGGTTGGCTCCAATGGATCTCCAGCATGCAGGGTGTTTTGTCTTGGTTGTATACTCTCTCTCATACTGCTGTTTGTCCATCTCTTGGTGTTGTTTTGCCACTCATTGACCACCGCTTGCCCTCGACCTTTCCTTCCAGTATGGTTTTTTTAAAAGAATGTAATGTCTTTTAATGTAGCCAAAATATTTCAGATGTGTCTCTCTTATTTATTCTGCAGTGTGCTTTTCATTCACAGTATTTCCAGAACCTAAGAACCTCTGACTGTTTCCCCCCCCCCCTTCCCCACCTTATGAAATATGACCTGTTCTTCTGTATATCCACATTTCCAGAGACTCAGTTTGATTGTCCTAGTCACACTTAGTGCATAGTTTGTGACAGAAAGACATCTTCATTCTTGTTGTATCCTACTATTTTATTATACTAATTTTTTCTCAAGTTAGCAATACCTTAGAATAATATATTATTTTTTTTTTTTTTGCTAGCAATACGAGGATGCAATCAAGCTCTATAAAGCGGGAAAACAAGTGGATTATGATAATCTACCGACCCCACCAGGTTTGTTTTATTCTGTTTTGTTAGCTTTTACTGTTTTGTTGAACATTGGATTCTTACAATTTTTTTGATTATACAGCTCACTGTCCACTTGGTTAAAGTGCTGGATGGGAATTAATTTTTAAGTGTGGTTTAACTAGAAGTATCTCTGCTAATATTTTAGACCTGCATTATCAACATATGCCCTGTCCAGCAGCATAGGCTTTCATGTCTCCACACAGATGCCAGTTGTAACTTTCAGAAACTGAAGGTCCTTTTTTTCCCCTTCCAGTTACCCCTACTGCCTTCCTAATTTTCCACATCCAGTGAATGTGATCCCTTGAATCCTGTTCCCATGAATTCACCTCACTATCTGTACCATTCATATCCTGCTTGTACAGATCTTTAAACTGTAGTAGAGGTCAGTCCTGAGATCTTCTACCTGTCTGTAATTCACCATAGAGGATATCCTTTGGGACCTTGCCATCCTCTATCCTCTATGTCCTAGCGGACTGAGTGGTTGATGTCTGAGAAAACAGTTGTGATGCTTGATCTTCAAAATACCTCAGTGTTTGTGATCTTGTCTTTGGTGCCTAACCTGTTAAACTAATGTGTATAAACATATGTCATCATCTTCATAAACAACTTCTGTTGTTAAGCATCGTGGGGTGGAATAATTTGCAATCCGGTGCACGCTGGCTGCCACTGGCTGTTGTCATGCCGTGAAGGGGTAGAGTGTCTGTTATGTGGTCAATCCATTTTAGCGGCCGTCCTCTTGCTCTTGTAGCTGATCTTCTGATATGTAGGGCTTGTGATGGTATTTGATCATGCTGCATTCTAATGAGATAGCCTTACCACTTTCATCTTCTGTTTCTTGATGAAGCTAGTACAAGGTGTCGTTCCCACAATTTCTGTTAGTATCATTATTAACTCAATTTTGGATAGTTAGGTTGGCGACTTTTCTCTGCATCTTATCTCCCAAGTGGTGATTTTACGTACATAGGCTATAGATAGTGTCCATGTTTGGCATTGGTAGCTTAATGTTGGAATGAATATGCTGTTAATAATCTGTCTCTTTGCACTCATAGTTATGTTTGGATGTCTTAATAATGGTGACAATTGGTATATCAGTGCACTTGCTTTCTGACATCTGGTTTCTATTTCTCTGCCAATTCTACCATCTTCTGTGATCATACTTCCTAAATATTTAAATTCCCTAATCTGATTCAGACAGAACCATTCAGCTGTATGTGTAGTGAACCAGAGGTTCTACTGACTTTCATTGTTGCAGATTTTTTTGCATTGATCTTTATGCTGTATCTACTGCATGCTGAGTTTAACCTGGTAATGTGGTCTTGCAGTCTATAAACTTATGTACTAAAAAAAAAACTTAGTGTTATATAAAGTTTCTTTTTTTTTTCTTTTGTTGCCATCAGGGTTTGCACCAATACCAGTGAACACAGCCGCATCCACAACATCTCCTCCGTCAACACAGCCATCAGCATCCTCTGTTGCGGGCGCTAAGCCTGGACCAGGAGCAGGAGCTTCCAGACCCGCACCAGCGGCAGCAGCCAGACCTGCACCTGCAGGGGCACCCAGTCCTGCACCCGCAGTAACCCCTAGACCTGCTCCACCAGCAAGATCTGCCCCGGCTGTACCTCAGCCTGGATCATCCTCATCTGTGCCTCGCCAAATACAAAGACAGAGTTGTATGTTGTCGTAACTGTATTTTAAAAAAACTTTCTCTTATGCCTGTATTTATAACTTTGTAGGGGGTTAGGATTGGGTGGGGGGTTTGGGAAGGGGGAATTGTCCTTAAGGATTTAGGGCAACAAGGTTAATTAGGCTGTATTCAAGTAGAGATGTTTATTTTTACCCCCACAGACCAAAAAAAAAAATTCCATTGCCTCACTAAGAATTAAAATTTTTGTTTCCCCACATGCAGTCCCGGCACTCTAGCGGGGAGAAGGTCTGTTCTTGTGTTATTATTTTTTTGTTTGTTTTTTTTTTAACCACTTTCCGGTGACAGTGAATTCTATACACCCATGACTCTTTCCCTAGGGTTATCAATCCCACGTTTAGGTGAACACATTTAGTGAGCACATGGTGGGCACACACAAAAACGTAACCACATGGCGGCACATGTGGGCATCATTTCCCACAGTCCAGGCTCATGTTTTGGTTGATGATTGAAACATTATAATGTCATTACATTTCAGTATACAGGTCTTATTTTATAAACATGAAAACATACACTGAAAAAAATGTGATACAAACATACAAGAAATAGGAATGGTTTAGCAGTTCCCTAACTGAGATAACTGAATACTCACAAAGAACTATTTCAAGCAGAATGTGTAGAAAAATTAGAAAAGGTAAAATAGACTTAGCTAGCCACCTAACCTATGATTAACAAGGTTGAAAATAATATGCAAGCATACCTGGGAACATTCCAGCAATTTAGCAAACAAGACTCAAACAGCTAGAATTACTTTCTACTGTTGATCTGAGTTTGTGGCCTGCTGGCAGCAATATGAAGTAAAGTCAAGATGCCTAGCAGTAATCACATGTACCCTTATCTCTCTGCAAAGTTAAACTTCTTCCCTTGTCTAGTTTCTAACCTACCCTACAGTAGAGGATCTAAGCCACGCCCCTGAGGTACCTTGCAGATTCAATTAGCTATCAATGTGCCTGTCAGTGATTTTTGACTGCCCCCACTAAGATCAAACATTCTTAAGTGGTAAACATCTTGTCTATAGCCAATATCACTGATAGCTGTTAAACACTGGTCCAGGGGACCATCAGTTGCATGTATAGCAAGCTTCCCTGCTAAGACAGTGGTCCAGGTTCAATCCCCGGAAGTTTCAGAGTTGTGTCCAACCAGTACAGCTCTGAGGCAAAGACCCCATATAATTAAAATGGGCACCTTTAGCCAAGACCTAAGTGAAACCTGAAACAGACACCAAACAGGACATCGCCCCCCCCCCCCCCCCCCCCCCCCCCCGCCCCCCCCCCCCCCTCCTTTCCCCTCTTTCAAAAGCCATATCAGCACCAACATGACTGAATTCCAGCCACCACTCTGAAATGGAAAAGCCCTGGTCAGCACAGGACCAGGCAGACATTAGAGGTAAACAGAAAAGAACTACCAGTGCCCACAACAACATATTCACCCAATGAAATACAACAAGATTTGGTACCACAGTTATAAGGACATCTTCTGTGCTACCATGCCTGAAGGTATGGAAGAGGGTCCTATACTTTTTTTGTTTTAAACTTTTTTTTTTTTTTTTTTTTTATATGCTTTTAAATTTCTTCTATACTTACTAACACTGGTTACTCTTCTCCAGTCAGTTAATATATCTCTGTTTTCAGCAAGCCGTCTTCACTCTAGACAGGAGCAGCAGTTAGCCTTCCTCAAAGAAAGAATGGCAGAGTTCAAACAGGCAGCTATGAATGCTAAGAAAAGTCACGACATAGAGCTGGCTAAGAAGTACATCCGCATGATGAAGGTCAGTTAGTTAATCGACAGATTATCCTCATTGCACATCGGACAAGTCCATTAGCACTCAGAATGCTGTTCTTTATGGATTTATGTCAAAAGTGAGGCAACCATCAGTGCTTTATTAATATCCTACCCCAAACAGGGGAGATCCACAGGTCAAGGGACAGTCTAATATTTTGGGGGTGTAGATAGGCTGCATGCAGTCGTGGGACCTAGGCTGCATGCAGTTGCAGGACCTAGGCTGCACTCTCTCGTGGGACTTAGGAGGGTTGGGGGTTAGGGCCAGTTCTAGATATTTTGGGGGTTGTTTAAAGCATCAGAAAGCTGGAAAACCCAATCTTACCACCCTCTAAAATATTGGGCTGTCCTGTGACGTCATCTGGTGTAGGACATTAATAAAGGACTCAGCCATCTTTAAACTGTCATTAAGATGTCACCATGGCTGTCTGCACTTTGATGTCATGTGCTGAACGCTTCTGAGATCCATGACAATAAAACTGACAGGTTACAAGATATCAGATTGGTTATTGTAATTTCTATCACACTTTTAAGGTTTTCATTTGAAGCTCCTGTAAATGTGAACCAGAATGTGTAGAAGTTTAGCATTTCGCAATGTTTGTTTTGAGACCATCTTTGCCATATTTTAGTAAAAATTCCTTTTCACACCTTTAGGCACATCAGGCATATGGGAAGAGCACCAATATTTTTTCAGACCAATTGGCACTGGGTGGGTAATGTGGTCAGCATTACGCCAGCCATCTTTACTTCCCCAGGACATATATCCTAGTAACCATTTTAGACTAGGTCAACCTGCGATGCCTCATACCATGAAAAAAAAAAATCCACCCTGCCAGCAGTGTGTTTCAATCGCGGTACGTTGGAATTATGAGTCGGACTTGCAACACCTAAGCCACAGACCCCTTTGCCATGTTTAAAAAAGAAAAAACATGGTTGGCCGCCTCCACATTGGAGGTTGCTGCAGCATATCCTGTGCTGTCTTTGGTTATAATAATGCTGATTAAGGTGAGGACATGAGTGCTTCGCTTCTGAGATCACAGGTAAGGAGCATTCTCTGGATCTTTTCTCCTGGTCATGCCAGTATGTTGGGAAATGAACAGGCAGACTGGCTGGCTGTACACAACTTGATGGAATACTGATGCATGATAAGGCAAACAGGGTTAACTCTTTGAGTCCCAGGGGGTTTAGCATCAGAAGCCCAAGGGGTGGTAATGCAATTTTTTTTATTTCACAAGTGTAAGACTTTAAAACAGACCATACTAATTCAATTGCCGCGCAAAATACACATATTATACATCAAAGTGACCAGGGATTGTTGAGGAATAATTTTAGCATACAGCTACAACAAATAATTGCGTTAGTAATTAAAAATTAATAAATAAACAGATGGTATGTTTACAAAACTTCGTAAAATTAAATGAAAAAAATGTCCACTAACTGCAATGGCACTCAAGAAAAACTGGTTAAATGTCTCCAAAATGAATCACAAATGAAAATGAACCACTTAGTATTGTATAAGTAAAATATAAACTCAATCTATACAGTAGATTTTGCTCCAGAGAATCTTTTGAAGCATCATAACAGAGCACTATTATTTGGTAAAGAAAACTGACTCCCAAAACAATAAGTATCTTCACGCAAAACAAAGTTTATCTAACACTCCTTCTTCTTCTTTGCATTCACCAGCTGTAAACTCCGGTGGAAAGTTCTGGTTGTTCGTCCACTTCCGGACTGCAGTCCTGTTCCAGAACCTGAGCGTTGCATGTGCATCCATTTGACAGATCTGTATGCAGACTGTTGGTTCCTTGCCTCTCAGGCAGATGCACTCCGACTTCAAAGGAAGCCCCCAATTAGTCGACTCTTACGACATGCTTTTGGGTAGGCAGTGGGTCTATTCTTGTTTTTCCTATAGTAGGGCCCCGGAACCCACACGGGGAATCTAACACTCAATTTGCATGTAATTTTGTATCTATATTCCCAAATAATAAGGGGGGTAGCACTAGAACTAACTGACACTGAAGAAAATCGTCTTTTCACTAATGTTTATTCTTTTGGTGCCAGCTGACTTTGCTATCATTGTACCTTGGCGTGAGGTACACATTAGACATTTATCTCATCAAAGTTTGACTCTATAAATGACTGAAACACGCCTAATTCGCAACGTTATCTATCTAACTTCGTATAAATCTTTAAAAACACGTACTTTATTTAAATTTTAGACTTCTAAGGCCGTAAATTATGTTGGCATGCACGTTGAATAGTGCTTGGCAGCCATATTATTTTTAAAAAAACACTTAGTAACTCGAGAATCTCCCAAAAATACTATATTTTCAGCTTTCAACCCACGTTACTAAATGAGCACGCTTGATATCAGACACAAAGAACTTGGAAGGAAGTTGAAATTGAGCTGTCCACATTTTACAACCGGTCACTGGTAGATTAAAAACCTTCACTTGGGCCGTTAGGTTGAAACAAATTAGCGCGTGGTACGTTCCCTGGGACTCAAAGAGTTAAGGGCATTAAGGGAGTATGTGTACAATTTGGAGGAGCAAATGGATCGTCAAAGTCTAATGAGAGTAATGCAGCGAGCAGTGACTATTATTTATTTTTCTAAAATTCCCACCTTGGAAATCAGACCCTGATACATTGAGTTTTGAATTGTGAAATGACTTCACTATCCTGTAAGCCAGAGAGCCACACAACTTTACCTTATAGCAAACAACCTTGAAGTTGTACAGTACAATTATTTTCCCAGCTGTTACATATGACTGTTATGTTCATACGTTATTAGAGCAGGAAAACATTGATTCATAAAAGGTAATCATTGAGAGATATATGAAGAATGACAAGACTATTTTTCAACGTTTTAAATAAATGTATTCCATTTTTTTCGACCAGGGTATGGAACCAATGATTGAAGGATGTGAAAGTGGATTGCCTGTTGATTTATCACAGGTAACTTTGGATCTCTCTTATTTCTCTTTTGTACATATTGTTTTGCATGTACAGCGTACACCACTATGTTCTGTTTTAATACAGTTTTACCCATTATATTGTATGCAAAGTTTTTATTTTCATTTTCGTTAAATGGTGGTAGTGCTTATCACAAAGAGTGTTTGGCAGTCCTCCGAATAACGATGCCAAATTATCAATGTTAAAAACACCCTAACAGGGCCTCAGTGATATGTAAAATTAGGATTTATTTCCTGCAAAAATGGCAGGCAGACGATCAGCTCTGACACAGATTAGCAATAATGTTACATCCGTTAGTTTCACGGTTGGACTGTTGTGACAGATTCTTGTAGTGGTGTTAGGGTTAGAGTTAGCCCTAACCCTAACCTTAACCCTAAAACTTAAACAACTGAAGGTTTATGGATGCAACTCAAGCAACTATTGAGGCCCTGTAAGGGTAGATTTTTGACCTCGATAATTTGGGACCGTTTTTCGCAGGAGTGCCGTATCTTTAACTGTAGCCATGCCTGAAAAAAGGTGTCATGATGCCTGAAAAACACTGCTGGTACTGTGAACTACCAGAAATAAGCCTGTTTTGTAAGTAATTAGGTGTAAACAACTGCCTTATGCACTTACTGAGTGCACATGTTTCTGGATTGTGCCGGGACTAATTGTTTGTTCACCAGTTTTTCATATCGGACAGTGAGGGACATTTCATTTCATCACTGGCACGGGAGCAACAGAGCAAGTATGGGTTAATCCTATTGCAGTGGAGTTGAAACTCTGATTACTACTACTGCAACTGCTACTACTACTACTGCTGCTGCTACTACTACTACTGCAACTGCTACTACTGCAACTGCTACTACTACTACTGCAACTGCTACTACTACTACTGCTACTACTACTACTACTACTACTACTGCAACTGCTACTACTACTACTTCAACTGCTACTACTACTAATGCTGCTACTACTACTACTGCAACTGCTACTACTACTACTGCTACTACTACTGCTGCTACTACTACTACTGCAACTGCTACTACTACTACTGCAACTGCTACTACTACTACTGCCACTGCTACTACTACTACTGCTGCTGCTGCTACTACTAATACTGCTGCTGCTACTACTACTACTGCAACTGCTACTACTACTACTGCCACTGCTACTGCTACTACTACTGCAACTGCTACTACTACTACTGCTGCTGTTACTACTACTACTGCTGCTGCTAGGCGTAGACAGTCTGTATATTTTTTGTGTGGGTGTGTTTGATAGTTAGAAACCCTGCATAGAGACAATCATTAGGGAAGGCTCAGTCATGGCCTACTAAACATTTAAGAGCTAAAACTAGTGGTAACAACCAGAAGACATGGATAGCTGTGACCTCTGCCCTGTGTGCCGCTCTAGACTCGAGAGGATTTTTTGTTGTTGAGGTTTTTGAACAATGGTTCAACATCATGGGGCACCGGTAGTAACCCATAAGTGCTCTATTTACTTCTAACTCAAGACTGTGTCAAGCTCAGCACAGTGCACAGGCTCTGTAGCACCAGCGAGGATCCTGAAATACTTTAAGTAGGTTTTTAACTTCAAATTTTGCCCGGGCAGCGCCTTTAGGCTACTCTTTTCTATTTCCAATTTTCTTCTTCAAAATGCCAATGGATTTTTTTACGTGTGCAGCAATGCACACAGACGTCCGATCTCACTACTCAGCGACCAGGGGGAATTACTAGGAGTTCAAGTCCACGTTAAAAAAATCCCAGCCCTTACTGGGGTAGACTCAAGAGAAAAGACTAACTAGCTAATTGAAGGTGTGTTTTTGCTATCAGGTTACATTCTGTCAAATAAAGTCTGTTGTACATGTTGTGTTGCAGGTTCCTCCTTCTCCGCTAGAGTCTGAGGATGCAGACAAGTTTGTAGTGGTGTCAGCTGAGGACTGCGAACCGACAGGGGACAGAGAGGAAGTCTTTAAAACACTTCAGGAAGATCTTGTCAGACAGATCAGGGTGTGTTAAAATACAGTACCTTAGTATTATTTTATTATTATCTTCCTCTTTCTACCTCCTCCTCCTGCTCACATTTTTCTTCTTCTTCTCATCCCTTTCCCCTTATTTCCTCTATCCTTCTTCTTCCTCCTTCTTTTTCCTGTTTTCCTTTTTCTTTTTCTTCTTCTACTACTACCCATTATGTTTTCTTTTCTGTTTCTCCTTTTCCCTTTGGGAGCGAGTTAACATTGCGGAGGTGCAGATAGATCATTACGGTCTAAGGAGAATGGTGCTGCGAGGAGTTGCCAGGGGATCTGGCTGACGCTTAACACTCGGGGAAATGATGAGACCGATATACAATCACACGGTTACTGCTACCATCGGAATTTGAACTTTTCACTTGCTGCTGCATTTGAAGTTTATTTTTGTTAGATAAAAGTTATCCTCTTTCTTATTAAATGTTAACCCTTGTGTACTACCAGTATAGTAAACAAAAAGGCAATGTATTGATTGGCACTCATAGAAAGAAGGAGAAAGGCAGAAGGACACACTAGACAACACAAAAATCAGAAGCTATAGTTACTGTGCCAGGAATAAAATCTTGTCACCTCCAAATTTTGTGTGCATCTCACTATGAAAACAAGTGTACTAAGAACATGACCAACTAGACATCCCATTGGCCACATCTGTCGTACAGCTAGAAATCCACAACTGTAGAATACTGACAGAATCCATCTCAAAACATTTAAGTCGCACCGTAGGTTACAGAAATTGATATTACCCAAGTAGAGGTTGAATATCAAACACAGTAATAATTTACATACACAGCAGACCGTAATGCTTTTTCTAGAATACACAAACATTTAAGAAATAGATTTGGTTGCTAGTTCCATTGTGTTACATGTCATTCACATTAATAAACAGTTTATTTATGTTGTGTGCTACCTACAGAGACATGTCGCACATTTTCAGAATTGCCAAAATGCTATAACATTTATTATAAACTTGATCTTATGTTTTGACTCCATTTCTTTCTCTTGCATTTTGCCTACACAGATTTGTGTGACAAACGCTCAGCATTACCAAAAAATGGGCGATGTGCCAGCAGCTGCGAAGTGAGTTCTAGATCATTGTGTGTTAAAATGATTAATGCTGTTTGCCTTTTCATCACTTAACTTCTTATTCCACTCGCTTGATCATTTAGATTTTGAAATTCACAAGTGATCTTACATGCAGAATGTCTCTAAGTTAGTTGTGTATCCTTTACAGGATGTTGCAGAATGAACCCCCAGCATTTCTTGGCTGTTGTGGTTTTTCTAGGCAAATTTACATCCAGTAGTTTGCCATTGCTTTCTGGAAGGTCAGCTTCTCGATACCAATGTCCAAACCAACGCAAGGGGCAAAGCCCACAGCTGGGATTGAACCCGGCATTACAAAGCGCCTAAGCCACAGATGCCGACAGGATATCTATAAACCTCTTCAGTAATGTTTGTAAGAAATGAGTACAAGTGTACCAGTTGTTTTAACTCATCAGTACAGCAAGCACAAGAGAAGGCTTCAAAGTGTCAGGAGCAGTTCTCCCATGAATATTTTGAACTCCATGTCTTGTTTGCAGAAGGGAAATCAAAGTCAGAAAGAGAATAGGAATGGCCAGAATTATTTTTGACAAGATGCAGCCATTATTGAGATAAAATTACAGACATCCAAAGAGATAAACAAAACATAGAAATTGATGACTGTCAGATGTTATGTGTACTCAGCCCTAATGTATGGTGCAGAGATCTGGACAATGAACAGACAATTAGAAAATCATATTGGTCTCTGGAGATGTGGATATACAGAAGAATAGTATGTATTTGATGGAAGTAAATGCAGTCACCTATTCTAGGCCCCAGAATGATTCCAGAGAGATGAAGTAACTATTTTAAAGAATTACTAAATTTCAAGAATAACGATGACAATACAAACAACAGTACTATAACAAAAACAGCAGAAGAGAGGGATACACTAGAGCCAGCCATTCTATTGACAGAAGTAGAAAATGTAACAAAGATAGCTCAGAGGCACAAAGCGACTGCTGATATTGACGATCTCACTGCAGAATCCATCAGAGCAGTTGGAAAACAGGAGCAAAATGAGTCATGTTAATTTTTCCAGACTGCCTGGCTAGAACAAAAAACACCAGACGACTGGCATGCACCAATAATTATACCAAAGTGGAAAAAATAAAGGGAGTAAGAGAAAGTGCACCAATTACAGAGGAATATCCCTATTAAAGCCACAGAGGGAAAATGTATGCCAAACTAATTGAAAGAAGATTAAGACCATAAGTAGAAGAATAACTTTCAGAAGCCCAGATGGGTTTCAGACTTTACAGAAGCTGTTAATTGTTTCATCATGTTTGCAATTTAGAATTGGAGGAATTTATGTGATTTCCACATATTTATCACCCTTGTTGTAACATACCATTTAAGTCAACTTAGAGTAGGGAGACCATAATATCTGGAGCTGAAAAGGGGACATCTCACTATTTGGAGGTAAAAATGTGACATCCCTCTAGTATTTTGAGCTGAAAACGGGACATCCCTCTAATATTATGAGCTGAAAACGGGACATCCCACTAATATTTTGAGCTGAAAACATAACATCCCACTAATATTTTGAGTTGAAAACAGGATATTCCAAGCAGGTCAGGCTAACACGCTCCAGCTTTCAAGGAAATTCCCTAAATAGTCTGCTCTATACAACATGCTTATTGGCGGCAGTGAGTCTTTTTTTTTTTCTTCCTCACATTGGGGAAACAAGGCCAGAGTCCAGAAGGGGATAAACAACCATAACTTTTCACCAGAGTTTATAGCCAGTGAACATGAAGAAGAAGAAGTGTCATTCAACTATATTACAGCAATCTGTTTTTGGGTTTCATTAGGTTCCAAAAATTAGAACAGAACAATCGTCGAGACCTTGATGCTCTGAAAAGTGCCCATAGGCATGGGGACCCAGCACCAAGGTTTCACTACGAGTCACGGACTTTTTCCATGGTGCAGTAAGTATCTTTACCTTCTGTATTCACCAGGATGTTATTATATATTGAAGAATAATAATAGTAATATATGGTTGATGCATAAGGAGAAACAAACTGATTGAGGAGGCCAGGACATACAAAATAAACCCTAAGATGAACGTTGATGAGAGAGGTCAAAGGTAATAGGTCAGTCAGTAAGTAAAAAACCCCTTTTCATGCCAGTGGCGCATATAGCATATGATGCTAGACTTATATTTGTATAGACTAATTGGCACTAGATGATGATGTGATCAGCATCACGCCAGCTGCCTTTACTTTCCACGATTGTAATGGTCCGTGAAGACTTGGCACAGAGTTGCCAGAGTGAGGAAAGGTACAATATGAAACTGAATGAGTTAAAAGAAAACTTACAGTTCATTAAAGAAATGATTTGGCTATCTGATGGGAGTGCCTTGAGGTCATGCCACAGGAAGCCATTTTGAATAAATAAAATAAAATGAACATAAAGGAATGAAAAGACCACACAAATGTGGAACGCTGACATAAAGAACAACTTTAGAGAAATGAAGACTCATCAGCTTTTACAAAAGAGCACACCGATGATACTTAACTTTTTCCCTAGCACTTCATTGAGATAGCTGAAAGAAAGGATAACTGAAAGAAAGGAAGGAGAAGGAAAAAGAAAGAATCTTTTTCTTCTTAAGGATAACTGAAAGAAAGGAAGGAGAAGAAAAAAGAAAGAATCTTTTTCTTCTTCGGCAGTCTCTAATTATGCGCTTATTCCACTGGGGGCCATAAAGTGGAGTGTCAGTTCGAGCTCTTTCAAGCTTCCCTAAAGCTTGGTTGTCAGGGCTACTGGATATGGCCACATATTTTTTTGCAGCTTTTGCAGGAGAGGACGACAGACTTGCGAGACATTTTCTGGAGTCTCTACAGCGTGAAGATATGGGCAGAGGGCTGTTTGCCTCATACCTAATTTCATGAATGTTTGTTGAGTCTGCAGTTTTCTTTGCGAAAGTGAAAGTTGGTAACTTGGTCAGTTCTGTTTAGATATTCGAGGAAATCTTTTTTTTTTTTTCATATCCAGTGTTTGTTTTCCAGTCTGTTTCTGATTTGCTCTTAATGAGGATTTTCACTTCTAGAAAAGACAATGGCTAGTTTATTTGTTGTTTGGCACTGCCAAACGTGGCTAAGGCATGAGCACTTTCATTTCCTTTGATTCCACAGTGGAGAAGGAAATCAGAAGAGAAAAAAAGAAAGACTTCTTAAAAAGTGAACATCCTGTTTAGGGGAAACATTCATTCGTTAGCAGGTCTTTTACATAGAAAGTCTTTCTCTCTCTAGCTAGTTTCCAGCCCTATGTGCTTTCATGGCCAGTGCATCCTCAGTGTCTTGTATCCACTTTCTTACGTGGAGGTCTGCCTGTGCCTCGTTTTCTGGAAACTGTGCCCTCCACCATTCTCTCCAGGGCACCTTGATGTTAAATATGACCAAAATACCTCAGTTTTCGGGACAGAATGCTGTTTATGAGCCAGTTTTCGCTCTTGCTCACCCAATCATGTAGGATGTCTTGTGTTTTTTTCTTCTTGGTCCATGGTATTCTACAGTTGTTTTTTCTACAGCATTTCATTTTAAAGGAAGGAAAACGAGAAAGAAAAAATATCCCATGTATGCTTACTAATAGTTGTATGTCACCTCTTCTATGTGGATATGAATGCTGGTGAGAAATAGTGAACAAGTAGAATTGAAGTCAGTTGTTAAATACATTAAATAATGTATATATCAACGAGCCAAACATAGCCACTATTATACTATGACTCAAATCTAAGGATATATGAATATCATTACACTGTTTGTTTCTTTTCAATAGATTATTAAAGTTAGCCCACTAATTCAACCTATAATAATATTTCAAGTAAGTAGCTGATTTATAGTTGAGTTCATTTAATTGTACGCAACATTGGCCAACTTGAGTACTTTCATATCTGTGCAATTATTTCTCTTAAAAGGTGTAACACTGATTTGGGAGATACAGATTTAGAGTTGACAGTTGTAAGAGGAATACAATACAACCTGCCATCAGGTATGTGTTTGTTTGTGTATTGATAACATTTGCTGTGGGTATATGTGTAGGAGATGGAGACAGTTAAAATATGGTTTAAAGAGATAGGTATTTTAAAAAAAAAGACAAAAAAATGGTCTGTGATCTGATGGCATATATATCTGTTCGGGTTAAGTGGTTGAACTTCAGATATGCATCATAACAGCAGTGTGAGATGTGGTGACCAAGTACCTTCCTCACAGCTTTTATATCCAGTGATGTTGAAAGAATGTTGATAAGGCCCTGGGTCTTTACCCAGAGTTGGTTTAAAAAGATCTAAGGTGAGGTCAAGAGAAGGTGTATGAAGATTTGAGGAAAGGTCTTGGGAAGAATTATGAAGAAATAAGATTGGTTGAAAGAAGTTTGTTTTTCAGGCATGAGTCTGGATTGAAACGTTAATTTAGAGATAAGGCTGGATTGAAAGGTTTATGTAGACATGGATTGAAAGGTTTATATAGGCATGAGGCTGGATTAAAAAAAATATGTAGACATGAGGCTGGATAGAAAGGTTTGTATAGACATGAGGCTGGATTGAAAGGTTTGTGTAGACAAGAGGCTGGATTGAAAGGTTTGTGTAGACATGAGTCTGGATTGAAAGGTTTATGTAGGTGTGAGGCTGGATTGAAAGGTTTATGTGGACATGAGGCTGGATTGAAAGATTTATGTAGTCATGAGTCTGGATTGAAAGGTTTATGTAGGCATGAGGCTGGATTGAAAGGTTTATGTAGGCATGAGGCTGGATAGAAAGGTTTATATAGGTATGAGGCTGGATTGAAAGGTTTATATAGGCATGAGGCTGGATTGAAAGGTTTGTGTAGGCATGAGGCTGGATTGAAAGGTTTATGTAGGCACTAGGCTGGATTGAAAGGTTTATGTTGAAATAAGGCTGGATTGAAAGGTTTATGTAGACATGAGTCTGTATTGAAAAGTTTATGTAGTCTGGATTGAAAGATTTACAGTGGTACCCAACTTACGAACCCCTCTTCATACAAACATTTTTAGATACAAATACACATTTGTTTGTCATTTCCCATTTTTACCTCTACACATGAGCCTAGATTTGAGATACGAACCGTGGTGCACTGCGCTTGCACAAGTGTTTGTAGTTACTATGTCACATTGCTCTGGGTTGTACATTTGGAAGGTAATGAAGCACACATAGAATAGCTTGTAGAGGAGCATAACATTGAGCTGACCACTGAAGAGCTAATAGAGTAAAGAACAGGGACAGGACAAGAAAAGTATGAGGAGGAAGAACAAGTGTCTTCAGAGAAGGAAAACAGCAACAAAATCAGAGTTATCCCGACAGATGATGTGAAAATGATCTTGGAGCACTGAGGTGAATTAGAAGAATTAGTACTTTCTCGCTCTTTATCCATTTCTTTGCATTTTCTTAATTTATATTTTTTTTTAAACCTGAGAACGGATTAATTCAGTGATTCACTATGCGCCAGGGAGCGCGACCTCTTCACAGGGGCGCCGCAAAATATTTTAAGATACACGATTGTTTGTTTTTTTTTCTTATTTCTATGAATAGTCAAACTTTTACTTAGGTTAGGAAACCGTAAAAATTTTTGATTGAAAAAAGGCGCTGTGACTAAGAAATGTTTGTGAAACACTGGATTTATTGATTTCCTGTAAGGTGTAATGGGAAATTATGTTTTGAGATACAAACTTTTTGATATACGAACCACAATCAAGAATGAATTAAGGACTACTCTATGTAGACCTGCGACTAGACTGAAAGGTTTATGTAGGCATGAGACTAGATTGAGAGTTTAGGAAGATCTGGGCTTGGTCAAGAGATAGTTTATGAAGACATGAGGTTTGGTTATGTAAGAATGAGACTAGATTGAGAGTTTAGGAAGATCTGAGGCTTAGTCAACAAATAGTTTATGAAAACATGAGATTTGGTTGTGTAGACATGAGACTAGATTGAGAGTTTAGGAAGATCTGAGGCTTGGTCAAGAAAAAGTTTATGAAGACATGAGGTTTGGTTGTGTAGACATGAGACTAGATTGAGAGTTTAGGAAGATCTGAGGCTTGGTTAAGAGATAGTTTATGAAGACATGAGGTTTGGTTGTGTAGGAATGAGACTAGATTGAGAGTTTAGGAGGATCTCAGGCTTGGTTAAGAGATAGTTTATGAAGACATGAGGTTTGGTTGTGTAGGCATGAGACTAGATTGAGAGTTTAGGAAGATCTGAGGCTTAGTCAACAAATAGTTTTTGAAAACATGAGATTTGGTTGTGTAGACATGAGACTAGATTGAGAGTTTAGGAAGATCTGAGGCTTGGTCAAGAAAAAGTTTATGAAGACATGAGGTTTGGTTGTGTAGACATGAGACTAGATTGAGAGTTTAGGAAGATCTGAGGCTTGGTTAAGAGATAGTTTATGAAGACATGAGGTTTGGTTGTGTAGGAATGAGACTAGATTGAGAGTTTAGGAAGATCTGAGGCTTGGTTAAGAGATAGTTTATCAAGACATGAGGTTTGGTTGTGTAGGCATGAGACTAGATTGAGAGTTTAGGAAGATCTGAGGCTTGGTTAAGAGATAGTTTATGAAGACATGAGGTTTGATTAGGATGTTGTGATATTAAGAGCTCTGTGCAAGTATCTACAGAGATATATGTTTGTGTATGTGGTCAATAATGTTTCTCCTATGTTTGGGTGAAAGCTGTACTGTGGATACTGCGTGATTTGAGTGGACACATTATATTTCTACAAGAGACAGTTGGATTAGTCAAACAGTTATTTTAGTAGTAAGACTAAATGCACTCAATTGTTTTCATGTCTGGATTCATTTTAAGAATATTTAACATTTGTTGGCTTAGCCTCTGAACTTTCTTTAGAATATTGAATAAATTAGTGTTAAGATTGAATAATGTCAAATATATAAGTTAGTTTAATGACATAATATTTCACAGAACTGAATATTTTTGAATAAAAGACTTATTTACTCAAAATGTATTTGTGTATTTTGACAGGGTTTTCAGAGAAAGACATGGATACCTGTGTCAAATATGAGCTTGGGTTTCCAACAGTAAGTAGCATTGATTGTAACACTATTTGTTTCCTCACAGATGATCTCTATTATGTCAAGTTCAAGAAGTGGATAGCAGAAAATAGAGTTACTAGAGGAATTATTGTGTCTGATTCTCAGTCGGTACTGTGGAAGGTTTAAAATGGACAAATGTGGCATGGGTGAATACCAGGCATCAGTGTGTCAACATTGCAGGGAATCACCTGGATGCACTGCCTGGGATATGCCGAAGTGCGAGGGAATGTAATAATTACTGCATCAGTGTAGTGTAATAATTACTGCATCAGTGTAGTGTAATAATTACTACATCAGTGTAGTGTAATAATTACTGCATCAGTGTTGTGTAGCACATTTTTAATTCAGTTATTTAACATATCTTTAAGGAAGAGCCTCAGACAGGAAGTACAGGCACGGTCAAGGACACAGTCAATCCAGGTGGGCACATTTCTTCTGTTTATTCACAATAATTTGTTGTTTGAATCCTTTGGAAGACATATTTGTAAAACACACACAAACTGTTCATTACCTACACACACTAACAGTTTATCACCTACACACACTCACACATCTACAGACACAACTACACACATTCACACACAGAACATGTACACACATGTATGAATATTAAAATAAAATGTTTACAACTAATTATGAAGAACTCTAATGACTGCAATGGATGAGACATATAATGAGAAGGGCAGATAGCAGAAAGACAAAAGCTCAAAAGAGTTAAATGGGAGTAGACCATGAGGCAGACCAAGAAGACAGACGGTGCACTGAGAGAGATAATATGCAGGCAGACCTACATACACTTACAATTACCAATTGGAAAGAATAGGCTAATTACAGCGGCGAACGGAGGCCGAAGATATCTGCGGTAATGAACATCAAGGCCTCAGAATGCTGACGAAAAAATCATTTCCTGCATTGTATTGTGTTCTGCATGAGCATTTCTTTAGCGCTACAGTTAGAAATTCATTGAAATAATTGCATAGATATCAGCATTCGATTTAATCGTAAAGAGTTTCTTAATAAATATTTTGTTTCTTTTTCAGAATATAATGAAACGTTCAAACTACAGTTCAACCGGAAGTCAAAAGCACTTTTAAGATTTGTTGAACGAAAAGGTCTTAAACTTGATGTCTTGATTAAAAGGTAGTGTATGTTGTGAAACTAAATAAGTTAGAAATGATTTAGGCTCATGTTAATGACATGTTGATGATGAAACAAAGGGGGTGAGCTTCACACTGTAGCAAAGGATAGGACTTAGGGAGAATTGGTTGAGGTCTCATGCTGTATTAGAGGATTGAGGGAATAATAAGTAGATGATGATGAATTATGCATGTAAATATTATTGAAGGAATATGTAAATATGAGGAAAGGGAAGTATTTTGGGGATGTAAAATGACTTGCAATTCTGAACAAGATAATCATGAATGGCAGCATTCTGGAAAGTATGGAAGAGGAAGACCACAACCAAGGCATAGGGGAGATCACTGTCCACATCAGACTGGCATCAGTTTTGTTTTCATGACTGTTCAAGCTGTAAATCTTGATTATTACAAATACAAGTATAACTCAGTTTCAGAATTGTTTGACACCCTCCCCCCTCTTCCCCCCAAACTTTTTCACACCACACTTTCAAGGAAGACCACTGACCTAGATTCATTCAGGAGTGATGAATGATTTACAATTAATGAGTGCTGGGGGTTCTGGGTTCAGATCCTGGTGAAAATAGTAATTTTCCCTGGTCTCTGGGTAGTAAGATTGGATGCCCATGTGTATTGTTGCGCGCGTAAAAAAATTCCTCGGCAGTTGGAAATCGAAAAGAGTAGCCTAGCGGCACTTCCCGGGCAACAATTTGGAGTTTGAATTCTACCCAAAGTATTTCAGAATCCTTGCCATGGCAATGGAGTTTGTGCTCTGCGCTGAGATACTTCTAACTCAGGCTTGAGTTAGAAGTATAACGGAGCACTTATGGGTTACATCCGTGTGCCATGATCTTGATCCGTCTACCAAACTAAACTGCACTAAACTTACACTAAACGGTAATAGAGACAGGACATCTGGCTTATGATAGAGAAAAATGTTGAAAGACTTATAGTGGCAACTTTCTTTACACTTCAGACTACTGGGTGATGATAATATTAGCTATGTTAAATATAAGAGCATCAACTTCATTGCAATGTGTTTTATCCCATATAGCTCAGTCTCTCTGTGCAGATTCCCTAGCTGCCTGCTGAGTGTTTCACATAAAGCACAAACTTCATTGCAACGGCGATGATCCTCAAGAATCTGTTTTTTTTTTTTTTTTTTTTTTCAAATGTGTACTCATGAACCAAATGATCCAGCTTCTGAGCATTAGGCAAATGGCCTGACCACTTTGCAGTGGAGACCCCCATAGAGACCGCCTTTACCAGAAAATGTCCAGGTATCATCCTGGTTGCCCAAGTCAATTTATAAACATTTGCCTCATCTGGCATTCAGATCTGTGACCAGATGGTCAAGGGCACTAGCTCCAGACTTGCGACAGGTCCCAAGAATTTCTGAGAACAGTTTAAACTAAATAGTTGTGACCAAATTAGTTCAATGGCTGGTCTTCAGACTCAGAATTCTTAATATTCTTCTTCATCTCTGCGTTGGTGGAAAGTTCTGGTTGTTCGTCCACTTCTGGACTCTAGTCCTGTTCTAGAAACAGTGTTGAGTGCACATCCATTTCACACGTCTGACTCATTAACATGCAGACAGTTGGTTCCTTGCCTCTCAGATAGATGTACTCTGACTTTAAAGGAAGCTCCCATAACATGCTTTAATGCAGGCAGTGGGTCTGTTCTTGTTTTCCCCACAATGGGGCCCCAGAACCCACATAGGGAAATTGATAATTTTAATAATAGTGGTGGTATTGTTATTAAATTTTTTTTTCTTCTAAATTTTTGCTACACTACACTTTAGAACCATTTTGAATGTTGTGAATGTTTATTAAAAGTAATTCCCAATTTTGTCATCAGAGGGTTTTTCAAAGGGGACAAGCTTTTGGGTACTGTCAATGTGAAACTGCAACCACTAGAAACCAAATGTGTGTTACATGAAAGTTATGATGTAAGTTGTACTTAGAGTTTGTGACATTTGTATTTCTCAATTTATAACATCTTTTTGTTTGTTTGCCCTAAAAAGGCTTTTGATATATTGTATTGTGGTTAACAGCTATTTTGTGATATCTGTAATTCTCAGTCCATCACCCCGATTTCAACAGATGATTAATTAGTTGTTCTTTTTCTCTCCCAAAATGGAGTCTTGCATCCACATAGTACATCATCTTCATTTTCATAAACCACTTCTGCTGTTGAGCGTCATGAGAAGGAATAATTTGCCGTCCAGTGCACGCTGGCTGCCTCTGGCTATTATCATGCCGTAAAGGCATACAGTGTCTTTAATGTTGTTGATTATATTTTCACAGCCGTCCTCTTGCTCTTGTAGCTGATTTTCTGAGACATTAGCAGCCTAAGTCTGACCCCAGCCAATTTATGTGTGCTGGACTGAATTATGACATCTTTACATCCTGCTGTATTTCTCTGCATCTGTCTTGTATCAGCCTTACAAATGCAGTTAGTTTATGGGCTTGGAGAGGGGAAGGAAAACTGCAATTTATTCCCAGTGGAGATAATATTCTGAGAAGAGTTTCTAAATGAATCAGACTCCGGTATATGCATATCTTTTACAGGGCTCAAACAACCTGAATGTCATTGCATCGGATTTATGAGTTAAAAACAGTCTTCACTCTTCAGCCATTAGGCTACCTCAGCTCCCTCAACATAAATAAGTTTAAAAAAAATTATAATTTAAAGATAATTACTGATACTATCAGAATTGCAACTCTCAGCTGGCTGATAAAGAGTGAGACAGAGCGGTTAAAGGATTGTCCTACTTGCTGTGATGTTGGTTTTTAGCTCAACCAAAAAATCAGATTTTTAACAAAAAGGAAAAAAGGACTCTTTTCATGCCTTTAATGCATGAGACACATGGTGCTGGACATATGCTTTCATAGACCAGTTAATCTAGAAGCTGCAGAGATGAGGTTTTATAGATGAATGATGAGAATACCGTGCACAGATAAAATTAGTAATGAAGATGTCTTGAAAGAAATTGACTCACAAAGAGAACTGATTGCCCACATCCGAAAGAGACAGTCTGCATTCTTTGGTCATGTGATGAGATGAATAAAAATTAGTATGTCATGAGGGGAGGAGAGGCAGAGGGAAACCATGAGAAAAGATGATAGGCAGTTTGATATCTTGGTATGGAATATCATGTGCGTCATAGAGTTGATTGAAAGTACATGAGACAGAAGGTTGTGAATAGAAATGACTACCAAAGCCACACAGCATGGACTTTAAAAAGAAGACTAATTAAGATACATACAGGATGTTAAACATGTGTAGTTATTGAGAACTAATTAGTATCACTGTAAGGTAGGTAACGAAATAGGGTCAGCTACTAACAAGAGATGAGGAGCGGCTCTTGTAAGAGACCCGGGTTTTATCTCTGGTAAAATGATAGTTTTGCTGTCATAGACAAAATTAAACATCCTAACTTGCACAGTTAGTGGTTACAGCACTAGCCGTGCGGTCCTAAATCCTCCTTCTCGCGACCCCGAGTCTTCACCGCTCAAAAAGGGGTAAGTGCAGGCGATAGTGACAGTTGACCAGTGCCTTCTTTAACTGATAGCTGCTGGGGAACACACGCACACACACACCTTCTCCACCCACCAAACAGGGTTACATGAACTCCTGGCAGAGAGGTGATTGAAACAAGTGGTGGCCAGTTAAATTGTTTTCAGAATGTCACCACTTTAGTTGTGCTAGGAAAAGAATGTCACTGTTGGCATCGTGGCTTGAAGTGGCGCGGTGATTTATGTCACAGGCGTGAGGGGAAGTTAAGTCCAACATGATTTGTATAAGGAGATACTCCGTACGTCACTCGGGCGCCAGTCCTTTACTATCCTGGTTGTACGGAACCTCACGCAAGACCCCTACAGCACGTCCTCGTCGTGCGCCACGGATAATGTCTCAAATGAGCATTAACAGAGCTGTCAGGGGATCTCGGAGTTTGGCGGCCCCCAGAGGTGATGTGTCCTTGTGGCTCTCATCAGCCCGCCCCCAAACGCTTGGGTGAAAAATGTTATCAAAACTCATTAGGAACATGAGTAGGTTCGACAAAAGTACAGCTAAAATCACAACCCTTGGTTAAAAGACTGCTGAGTAAAGAGAACATTGCTCAATGCTCATCCTCGGTTAATTCTCAGTGTCGTCGTCACCGCGCTGAGGTGCAACACAACAGAAACCATACATGGGCTGGCCATCCTTGTGCATCCTCGGTTGGCCCTCAGTGTCGTCGTCACCGCGCTGAGGTGCACCACAACAGCAACCATCCATAGGCTGGCCAGTCACGTACATCCTCGGTTAACCCTCAGTGTCGTCGTCACCGCGCTGTGGTACACCACAACAGCAACCATCCATCGGATGGCTAAGCCTAAATGTCCGACAAAACTAGATCATACGGATCAAAATCTGACCATCAAAATTTGCACTGAAATGCAAAAGGCCGAATGTCCACACCCAAAGACCCCACTCGCCCGAGTGTTGGGACAAAACTGATAACGATATGCCTGATTCAGGATGTGAAATTCTGCCGGGCTAATGTACCTATCTGTGTGGTCACAAAAGTCTAAAACCCACGGGCTGCTCCCCGCTGACTTCCAGAGGGCGCAGCCCCTGTCGAGCGGGAGGCCTGATACGGTTGTGAGGTTAAGCAGGCATGTGCAGGACGTGACGATTCCTTGGGTGAGCCCAGAACCAGAGCGCCATGTGCCGGCTCTGCATGCATGGAAGCCTCCTTGGATGGCGGGGAATGCCCATGATCTGCCCCTGCCTTCCCTTGAGGGCCAACTGTTCCACAGGGGGTTGCCCCAAAGGGGTACTCCGGGGGCAATACCTGCGGCGAAGGAGACAAGGCGGACACCACACAAATCAGGCAGTCTCGACCCACACAAAACAATGGCCACAGTCATCCTAGAAATAGGCCTGACGTCTTCCTTCGAAGTCGGCGTACAGCTGCCCAAGAGGCAGGGAAATAAAAAACGGTTGTACACGCAAAAATCAGGTCCAGGTGAAGGCCAAAAGTCCAAGCGGACGATTAACCGGGACCTTCCACTGGAATTCACAGCCGGTGTTCGATGAAAAAAAAAAAAAATCGTGGCTTGAAAACCTGCCTAATTCGGACTCATATGCTGTCATGGAAAGAAATTGTCACAGGGCCTGATTGTAGGCGATAAAAGAAATGATCCAGTGCCCCCTGACAGGCGTGTCATAAAAGTCAACTAATTAGGGATGCTTTCTTTGAAGCCAGAGTGCATCCACCTGAAAAGCAAGGAACCAGCAGTATAAATACAAATAAGCCAGATCTGTCAAATGAATGCACATGCAAAACTCAAGTTCTGAAACAGATATGGATGAACAACCAGAACTTTCCGCTGCAGCTTACAACCGGTGATTTTCAAGTAGTAGAAGAAGAGAAAGATTGATTGGCTAGCAAATTTAGCTATAAACTGAATTTGTCTGTAGTTGGCTGAGTGACAAGCACAAAATGGCACACAAACTTTTCATTGGTTGGTTGGTTGGTCAGTCATTGTTCTCCTACAGGATTGCTGTCCGTAGGATTAATCCCTCATGGTTGAGCACCAAACAGGAGCAAATCCAAGAATCTATCTATCTGTTTGTCCTCTCCTGCTACCTAAAGATTTATCATGCCATCCTTGGGGCTTCTTAGCAAAAGTTAATGGTCGACGTTTGGTGCAGGAGAGCCTAGCATATGATACCACAACATCCAGCTTAAGTATGGAGGTGGAGGCAGTCACTGCAGCTTTCCGCTGGCTAGAGAACACGACTCACACACACATTGTAATTGTAACTGATTCAGAAAGCATGCTGAGGAAGATCAGAACAGGTATGCTTCGTGCAGAGTGGCATGCTTCGCTGCAGAGGACACGAGTGAGGAGTATTGTCTGGATTTTTTCACCGGGTCATACCGGTGTGTTGGGAAATGAACAGGCAGACAGACTGGCTGGCTCTGCACAACTTGGTGGAATTCTGCTACATGATAGGGCAGACGTGGTTAGTGCCTTGTGGGAGAGCGTGTACAATTCGGAGGAGCAGATGGATCACCACAGTCTGGTGAGATGATGCAGTTGGGGGTGACGAGAGGTTCTGGCAGAAGCTCAAGGCTCAGAGGAAAGGCAAGACGGACGTTTAATCAGAAAGCTACTGGCACCATTAGTATCAGAACTCTTCGCTGGCTGCTGAAGATGGGCACGGAGCGCTTATGGGAATGCCCCGAGTGCTGTGATGTCGGTTCTTGAATCAAATCAAATCAAATCATTATTATGCCATCCTGAGATTAAAAATTATCACTCTGGATGGCAGACCAACAATGCAGATCCCAGATACCCTGTTCAACTTCCAAAGAAGTTATAATGAGGATACCTGTGATGGCTACAGCAGCCAGTGGTAACCCACAACCCCAGAAACCCCATTTAGCCATATAACACAGTTATATTTGGCTGTCCCTGCTGTTACCAAGTAAGTTACAGTCCTTTGTGGGATGTAAAATATTTTGTTAGTAGTCATTTGATTGATAAGTGAAATATGTATAATTTTTTTTTATTGGTTACATATGTTTATTGCAGCTTATGGAAGGTCGAAAATCTGTGGGAGGAAAACTAGAGGTTAAGATTCGAATCCGTGACCCATTAAAGTCTAAGCAAGTGGATGAAGTCAAGGAAAAATGGCTGGTCATTGATCAGTTTATTAGAACAGCAGGTTCAAAGGTGAATTATTAATGATGTCTTTATGTAGGCACATTTGTAGACATTCTTTCTTCAGTAATAAAAATGTACACATGTATGGTGATAGCAAGGAGAAGTTACATTCCTTGGAAGGGAATGGCAGATTTAAGTTACTGTTTCCCTGAAAGTAAAACCAGGTCTCTTTTGTTTGTTCCAAAGGACACCTCATTTATCTTCAGGGGATGTCTTTTTTTTTCATGTACAAAAATCTACATTAAAATTATTCTTTTTTTTTTTAAAAGCATTAAAAATGTGAATAATATTATTTAACTGTTTTTATTTTATAATTCAGTATATCGGTTGTATGTTTCGGGGATAAACAAAATCCGTCTTTCTGGCTGACACGAGTTCAGTTTTTAGCCAAGATGCATGTGGATCGTTGCTGGAGGTTCGGAGTTTGTGCTTTGTGTGGCACTCCCAGCAGGTGGCAAGCCATTCTGTGAAAAGAGAGATAGAGAAAGACAGTAAGAGAGGATTCTTGACGGTCTTTTCTCATAGTGAAGAGGAGTGTCAGCACCTGAACTAGGATGCGCTGTTGGAGATCGCAGGTTGTGGAGAGGCATGATTGCCCATGCCAGTTGGCAAGGCGCTTGATGATGATAGTCATACATGTAAGCAAATAAATAACATTTTTGTTAGAAGTATCTTATACATCTGAAAACAAATAATTTTAATCTTTTGCATTTTCAGAGCCAGGAAGAGAGCAGGGTAAGTGAGCTGAATTATAGTCTTTTTTTTAATAGATAACAGTCTTTGTAATATTTGCAACACTGCTGAATTTGTTTGGATGAGTTTGGGGATTCAAAGTTTTTGAGACTCTTCTAATTTTGCTATTAACTCTATGGACCAGAGAAGCCAATATATGTGTTTTGCAACTCTTTACAAACCCTTTTAAAAAACTGTTTTTTAATTGCATTGGTCAGTCCTCGAAAGGCGTATTTACTGTTGTTGGTACAATTTGTAACTGTGAAGTGTTTAGTCAAGACTAGATAGTAAAATAGCAAATGGGTGGTTTTTATTGATAATTGTTGTGAAATAAATGCGTCTTCTTCTGCTTCTTCTTCTTCTTCTTCACCGGCTGTAAACTCTGGTAGGAAACTCTGGTTGCTCGTCCATTTCTGGACTTGGTTCCTTTTCCAGAACTTGATTTTTGCGTGCACATCTGTTTGACAGATCTGACTTTTTTATGCAAAGACTGTTGGCTTCTTGCCTTTGAGGCAAATGCACTCTGACTTCAAATTATACCTCATTCAGTTGAGTCACAACATACCTCTTAGGGAAGCAGTGGGTCTGTTGTTATTGTTTTATATTTCCCTAAAATGGGGCTTCAGAACCCACATTGGGAAATGCCTGTTCACAAATGGTATTAAAATAAGTAAATATAAAAAAAAAATTTTTAATAAACAATAATGCAAATATGAAACAACAGTGTTATTCTCTTGGTGTTGAGATAAGACTGCAGAATTTTAGCAGCCTTCAGTCAGAAGAGCCTTGGTTCAAATCTGCATTGAGACAGCTTTTTTAAAATAACCTGTCAACAGACTTACATGGTTACCGTGAAAGGTTCTCAGAAGTAAAGGTGACTGGTATGTTGATGACATCACCCATTAAGTGCTGATTGGTCAGTACAAATATGGATCTGGCATCATGTGCCCAGTTAATCATAGTGTGAAAAGGGTTATTTATTTGTTTTGTTATGTCTGGTTGCATTTTGTATATTTGTTAGTGCCCGTAAATAACATTTTGTAATTTCAGTTCTGATACTTTATTTGTTTTACGTTTTTTTAATGTGAAAATGTAGGTCATAAGAAGCACACACAAAATATATAGTAGGATTTATTTAGAAGTCTTAAAAAGCTAGACATCAGATTTGATATAGGCATCATCAACTTCCTTAAAATACCAGATGACAGAGAGGGTTGTAGGACATGCTCGCTAATATTTGCTCCAGACCAGGAACCAGAAAGAGAAGAAGATAGGGTCATTCATTTTTCAGTCATTAGTTTAAATTAGCCCAGGGAATACTCTTGGTCATAAGGGATACAAGAATAATAAGATAAATTAACCCATGAGATAGTCGGGGTCATAAGGGATGCAAAAATAATAAGATAAATTAACCAATAGGATAGTCAGGGTCTTAAGGGAATGCAAGAATATTAAGACAAATTAACCCATAGGATATTCAGGGTCATAAGGGATGCAAAAATAATAAGATAAATTAGTCCATAAGATAGTCAGGGTCATAAGGAATCAAGAATAATAAGATAAATTAACCAATAAGATAGTCAGGGCCTTAAGGGATGCAAGAATAATAAAACAAATTAACCCACAGGATATTCAGGGTCATAAAAGATGCAAGAATAATAAGATAAATTAACCCATAGAATGCTCACGGTCATAAGGGATGCAAGATAATAAGATAAATTAGCCCATAAGATAGTCAGGATCATAAGGGATGCAAGAATAATAAGATAACCCCATAGGATATTCAGGGTCTTAAGGGATGCAAGAATAATTAGATAAATTAGCCCATAAGATACTCAGGGTCATAAGGAATGCAAGAATAATAAGATAAATTAACCAACAGGATAGTCAGGGTCATAAGAGATGCAAGAATAATAAGACAAATTAACCCATCGGATATTCAGGGTCATAAGGGGTGCAAGAATAATAAGATAAATTAACCCATAAGATACTGGGGGTCATAAGGGAGGCTAAAACCCATGGGATACTCTGGCTCATAAAGAATGCAAGAATAGTGAACATAACCTGCCATACATGTCATTAGAGGCATCTAAGGTGGATTGGCATGAGACTATCTACTTCATCCCATACAAAAATTTATCTTTAAAGTTCCATATCATCAACAAATCTACTTCTTCTGTCTTCTTCTTATTCTCTCTACCAGTGGTTTTTAGATGAGAAAGCCACAGGCCTTTGTGATGGCTTCTCTACTGATCCATGCTGCTTGGTTTCACAAAAATGCTTATTAGCCAGACATGGTATCTCTCTACTACATACGGGGAACATGTCTGCAGCCTATCACATGTTTAAGAGTGCTTCTGCACATGGGTGTAGCCATTCCTGTTTTTTTTTCTAACTATCCAGAAACCATGAGTTGTTAACCCTTTGGCTCTGTACTATGGATATCGCAACCCTTTGGCCTTGATTCCATGATTAATACCATAAATCTGGGAGAAATTTAGTTTTACTGCCTACCCCTGGGCTTGAACCAGGACCACAATGAGTTTGTCACCTGGTCGCCACGCAGAGGGTTTTAACCAGCTTCGCTAGTGAGCCGGGTGGGTGTAGTCATAAACAAATCTATAGATGGTATGATGTGAGTTGTTGGAGAATCTGTTCCCCATAAAGAGTTGAAAGGCTGAACAAGAAGTCTTAATGGGGTTTAATAATTTTTTTTCTCATATCCTCTTAACAGTGTTTATGAAGAAGTATGTAAAGTTTAATCTTCTATTTTTAATTTAAACAGGCAGGAAAAACACAGAGGTAAGTTTCATTTTATAAACCAAATTTTTTTTAAAGCTTCCAACTTTCTTAATACTATTTCGATTTGCATTTGTTTTATGTCGCCTTTCTTTTCTTTTGTGTATTTTGTAAGTGTGAACTGCACAGATATGTAAAATTTTAGTGAGAAAAATTGTATATGCTTTCCTTCCACAATGTATTAGTTAATGCTTTCATCAACAACAAAAAATTAAGATCCCTTTTCACACACTAAGGCACATCAGGCATATGGGAAGAGCGCCCATATTTGTACAGACCATTAGCACTAGGTGGGTAATGTGGTCAGCATTACGCCGGCTGTCTTTACTTTCCCAGGACAGTCATCCTGGTACCCATTTTAGGCTGGGTCGATCTGTGACGCACCATACCACGATAAAAATCCATGCAGCTAGCTGTGGGTCTCAAACGTGGTTATGGAATTACGAGTCTGACTTGCAGCGGCTAAGCCACGGATGCCGCTCTAATGCTGTCATACTGCTAATAAAGTTAGTTGCATATCCTTTACTGAATGTTGCAAACTAGCCATGACAGTTCTATATGTTCTGGGGGGTCGTTAAAAGCGGTGTCATCATGTAGTATAAAATATATGTGACATTACCACCGATACCATCGGAGACAAGATGGCCTGACATCTCTGTAATATAGACTAACCGTATCACAAGACAATGTCACAAAAGAGGATGCATGAATGAAAGCCCAATTACACTTTATTTGGGCAGACTTTGTAATAAGATCCCTAATATGATATGCCTTATGCACCAATAGGTCTAGCACAATATGCCTGTTGCACCAGTAGGTCTGTGATATGCCCAATGCACCAGTTGGTCTAGTATGGTAAATTTGATGCACCAGTAGGTCTAGTATTATAAACTTGATGCACCAGTTGGTCTAGTATGATATGCCTGATGTACTAGGCTAGTATGATATGGCTGATGTACCAGTAGGTCTAGTATGAAATGCCTGATGTACCAATAGGTCTAGTATAGTTTGCCTGATGCACTAGTTGGTCTAGTATGATAAACTTGATGTACCACTAGGTCTAGTATGATATGGCTGATGTACCAGTAGGTCTAGTGTGAAATGCCTGATGTACCTCTTGGTCTAGTATGGTTTGCCTGATGCACTAGTTGGTCTAGTATGATACACTTGATGCACCAATAGGTCTAGTATGATATATCTGATGCACTAATAGGTCTATTAATTATATGCCCGGTGCGCCATTACGTCTAGTATCATATGCCTGATGTACCACTAGGTCTTGTTTGATATGCCTGATTTACCAATAGATCTAGTATGATGTCTATGGTGCGCTAATAAAATTTAATTGATTTCTTTTTTTTTTAAACAATCATTTGTGTCATGCCTGTCTTGTCTATACTATAAAGCTCCCCAGTCTGCCTGCATAGCAGCAGTTTTTTGTCCTATTTAGTGTAATCTTGAAACCAGGGTTTGTGGCGCGGTGATTTCGGTCACAGGCATGAGGGAAAGTTAAGTCCGATGTGGTGTGTATAAGGAGATAGTTAGTACCTCATTCGGGCACCAGCTCTCCACTGTTCTGGTGTTACGGAACCTCATGCAAGACTCCTGCTGCACATCCCCGGCGTGCACCACGGATAATGTCTCCAATGAGCATTAACAGAGATGGCAGGGGATCTCAGAGTTTGTGGCCTCCAGAGGTATAGTGTCCTTTCTGGCTCTCACCAGCCCGCCCCAAAACCTTATTTGGAACATGAGTAAAGTCTTCTTGCCAAATGTACCACTAAATGACAACTCTTGGTTAATAGTTTGTGGAGTGAATGGGTGCTGCTGAGACTCAACCCTTGACCAAGAGATTTACCCTCAGCCAAGGCGAGTAAAATCTTCTGTGGGCAGTTTCTCGCTGCACAATCCTGTCTACGTACATCCTCTGTCAACGCTCAGCGTCGTCGTCACCGCCCTGAGGTACACCATGACAGGCACACGAACAAGTCCAAATGCCCGTATCCACTGGCCCCACTCGCCGTAGTGTGGGACTAAACTGGTGAAGCCATGCCTGACACATGCTTCTACATTCTGTAATGCTAAGGGCATAGTTTAAACAGCGTTAAAGGTGTCTAACATGCGATGAAGAAGAGCGTACCTACTTATGTGGTCACAAAAGTCCTGGACTTGCAGGCTGCTCGTTCAAGTAAAAGCCAAAAGTCCAAATGGACGAACAACTAGGACTTTCCGCTGGAATTCACAGCCGGTGAACAAGAAGAAGAAGAAGAAACCAGGGTTTGTTGTAAGCTGCAGGCAGTTTAAAATCATATCACCTTGCATTTGTTACAGTGGTATGTCATACCATTATGAAACCACTCAGCGTGAGATTGCCTAGTAGAATCACAAACAGCCATTAAATGCTGTGGTTAATCTGTTCTTCAAAGGATAGGATATTTTTTTAATTTATTTATTTGAAACCTTATCTTTGGTTTTAGTAATTCATCTCAAGGAAGACTTTTGGTGGCTGTTTTACTATTTTCATAGCTCTTAAAGTCATTGGGGCATGCAAGTCCTCCATCGCTGCAAAATGTGGAATCACAGGATGGGGGGGGGGGAGGCATGATATTTCATGCAAGTCCTCCACCGCTGTAAAATGTGGAATCACAGGATGGTCGGGGGGGGGGGGGGGGGGGGCATGATTTATCATGCAAGTCCTCTACCGCTGCAAAATGTGGAATCACAAGGGGGGGGGGGGGGGGAACCCAAGATTTATAATGCAAGTCCTCCACTGCTGCACAAGGTGGAATCACAGGATTAGGGGGGGGGGGGGGGACCCCAAGATTTTTCATGCAAGTCCTCCACTGCTGCACAAGGTGGAATCACAGGATTGGGGGGGGGGACCCCAAGATTTTTCATGCAAGTCCTCCACTGCTGCACAAGGTGGAATCGCAGGATAGGGGGGGGGGGGGGGAGAACCTAAGATTTATCATGCAAGTCCTCCACTGCTGCACAAGGTGGAATCGCAGGATAGGGGGGGGGGGACCCAAGATTTATCATGCAAGTCCTCCACTGCTGCACAAGGTGGAATCGCAGGATAGGGGAAAAAAACCTTGATTTATCACTTAAGTCTTTTTGTTTGTGTGTATGTTTTTGTGTGTGTGCAAGCTGCTGTCTACAATGAGAGCAATTATTTTACCCCAGTAGCCCTGAGAAACCTCAAACCGACACTTTCATTCAGTCCAATTCCCCATAAATGCCATTTATCCAACTTGTCTGCATCTTATGTTTACAAGATGCAGTTAATGCTACTAGCAGAGTTCAAGCCTGCACAAACATTTAGGAGGTTGAGATAAGAATATATTAGCTAAATATAGCATTTGGTGGTTTTTCTTTGCCAAGTTGATGTCAGTTTTTCCTGTGCTCCTCAATGATAAAGGTCACAGGGTCGCAGCATGAGTCATCTGATATATATGATTTTCTTTTTAAGGCCTTGGAAAGTGTTTTCTATTTAATGCTTCAGTCTGTTCATGTATATTGATAACTTCCTTTATATATCATTGAATAATTCCCCAAAAGAATACATTTCTTAAAAAATTGTATTTTTAATCTGTTTAAAATAGTTTGTTTTTTTTAACGGATTTTTCTGTCCTGCTAGAATTTTTGCATTTATTTGTGGCTTTTCATGTGCTTGATTAGTATATTTAAATACATGATTGGATAACATTAATAGGAAGGAATTAAAAGGCTAGAACTGACACTAGTCCTACTGTTCAGTCAAGAGCAACAGATTCAATGGTTTCGAAATCGTGCCAACTGCCACAGAGAGCCATGCTAAGTAAATATAATGAACACATAGCAGAGGGAAGACCACTCAGACAATTGAATAATGGCATCAAGAACAGCCTTAATTCTTTGAGTCCCAAGGAACGCATCACACATTCATAGGTTCCTACCTACAAATCCATTGAACGCAAGATGTGCCGATTTATATCTCTTTTGACTACCCCTTGGGCCTCTGATGCTAAACCCAATGGGACTCAAAGAGTTAAAGCACCTAAGATCACTGTATACAACACATCAAAATAAGCAACAGAAGATTCTTACATCTTTTTTTTTTTCAAGTTAAATTGTTTGTTAGTTTTTTGTTAATAGTACTACATTTTAGGTTAGCTTTGAAAAACTGATTACAATGTATTTTTTCTGTTAACTGCTGGTGAATTGAGTACACATTTGTGAATGTTGGTTGATACTGTATTTCTTTTTTTATTTGGCTGTTCCATTATTGTTTTGCTTTTTCACTTTCACTTAGTGTAAATTTATAGTGCTGTACATGAATGTAAATATTTTAATTTATTCTTACATTTAATTCTGTATTTTATTTTATTTATTTTGTATTTTATGGAAATGTCACAAACTTTGAATATCTAGGCTCTATAATAAACAGCAGTGGAGGCTGTTTGACAGAAATTAAAAGGAGGATGGCCATAGCAATGCAAAGATTGAACAGCTTAAAAAGTCTATGGTTAAGCACCAGCAAAGAGATCAAAATTAGAATTTTGAGAGCATGCATCTTCCCTGTGGCTACATACGGATGCGAGTCGTGGACTATCTCTCAGTCCTTAAGAAAGATAATAGGGGCTTTTGAGCTGAAATGCTGTAGAAAGATTCTCAGAATATCTTGTACAAAGAAGAGGAGAAATATTGACATCTTGAAAGATCTGAACATCAAGGAAGATTGGCTAATAAACAGCATCCTGTCTCGGAAGCTGAAATATTTTGGTCATATCAAGCGCCACGGTGGATTGGAAAAACTTATAGAAGAAGGCATGGTACCAGGAAGGAGGGGCAGGGGCCGACCGACACAAAGATAGGCACACGATATAAGTGACTCCTTGAGTATGAAAGTACGTAAGGCGGGAGAATTGGCAAGAGACCGAGTTTCTTTCAGGCAGACTGTGATGAGAGCGAGTTCTTCAGAGGACCTGCTTCATGATGGATAGATTTTATGTAATTTTTTATGT